GGGGGGGGGGGGAGTAGTGGACATAAAATGGGAAGAAAGAAATATGTTGAGTTTATGTTTGAAACTGAAATTGAAAAATAAAGAACAAATTCTGAGAGTGTGAGCATCTTTTAGCAGAGATCATGAATGCCCTATGTATGAATGAAATAATTTGTTTTAATAGAACTTATATCCATTATTTTAAATAAGCACTATAAAAAGGTAAATCTTTACATTAAAAATACAAAAAACCAAAACACAAAACTGGAGTCAGTTCTCTCAATATCTTTAAAATAATTAGGAAGAAAAAGAAAAACAGGAAAGAGGAAAATATTTAAAATTATACTACATGAATCTCAGGTTACTTTAATTACTGAAAAATCATTATTGGGTAAAATTACTTTATACATAAATACAAACCTCAATAATCTGAGGAAAAATAAGTACAGGTCTTAGGGAAGAATCTATCTTTGACAGAGCATTTATTTAAAAAGACAAAAAATTACATTTAAGATTAAGATTAATCTTTCCATGTGTGATAAGTTCAGAACAGAAGTTCCACCACTATCTCCTAAAAAGTTATTTTCATAAACTTTCACCAAACATAAATTTCTATGTCTATAAAGTGTAAGTCAATTTTAAACCGAAATGAGAACTCTGGAAATTAAGAGCAGCCTCTAGAGCAAAAGTTCTGAAATACTAAGGGAAATACTGGTCAACTTTTATTTTAAATTGTTACTTCACCAACCTCAAAGAAAAGGAGTTGGGCCAATTTGAGAAGACCATCAACACTAAAATATACAGTTATAAAGTTGCAGGGCATTCCTTCATTATTTTAAGGCACCATCTGTCTTATCCCAAAAGAATGAAAGTTCAAGGTCACAGTGATCATAAGCATTCAATTTTGGTCTGGTTTCTCATGAGTACGTTGCTACATTTAGTTAGTCCTAAATTTAAGAAACCATAATACAACCACTTTAAAATAATACATTTAAGTCATTTTTGTATTTTGAAAAATGTAAACAAACAATACTACTTCCTAATTTATATACACTAAAAATTGGAGTTTCCCCCTTCCCCAGTGGAGGAAAAGGTTACTTCTATCAACATTCTGACAAATACACATTTGATGATGTAGAAAGCATGGTCGTGTTAAATATAGGCATCTCCTACTTAGGATAAAACTATTCAATACAAAGGACAAACTCATTCCAAAAAGCAATGTTTGCTTAATTTTTAGGTCTTGTACGTCATCTTTTTACTACTACCCACAGTCCCCATCAGATTATTAGATAATTCTCAGCTGCCTCTTTACTACCAAGGCTTCTTATGCAAACTGCAGCAACATTATGAGGCAGAGAAACAGTAAGTGACATTAAATTAAGGAAAATACTGTAATATGAGGGACAAAAATTCTCTTTGAGAATTTGTATAGGGGAAAAATTAAAGAATTTTAACTAGATAAATGTAACAGCTTTTGAGTCTATCACATTTCTACTTTTCTCACAAGAGTACAACACCGTACCAATGTTAACACTTTAGCATTAACAGCTTGGTTTTTAATATTTTCCTTTAAGATATGCATTATAAAATATTTCATTGTACTATGCTAGGGTCTAGTGGGTACTTTTCTCCTGTGAAACATGTGACTGTAACAAAGGGAGTGAGTGGAAATACAAAGAAAACAAACTCTGTAAACTTTCATTACATAAATGAGAGACACCTGTACTAAAAATGATCTGTGCAACAAAATTTAAAGTTTTACATCACAGAATGAATGTAAAGAGAGACTACTTCAATTGATTACTTCAATTAATTACTGAAAGATCATTATTGGGTAAACTAATTTTTACCCCCCAATATCAGAGAACATTATTCCAGAAATCAGATGAAATAGAATGCAACTATATATATTTTCAAAAACAAATTTGCATATGGAATATAAGTGTTGAGGATTTACATATTTAATATAAGTCCTAAATGAAAAATACAGAAAAGATTATTTTTATTTTAATCCCAATATGCTAAGAAAAGTTCATTGGCACAAATATCTGGAGGTATTTTACATTTTCATTTGCTTTGGTGGCAAAGTGTATTTTGCTAACCATATGAATACAGTTATATTTTCCAATGTAGAGGTTTATGCTAAAAAAAATTCAAAGGTGTCCTCTTTTTCCCTAAAAAAGGGATGTAAAAAGTCCAATATGAAACAAAACAAGTGAAACATGAAATACAAAATATGCCTATCATTCAGGCTTTTGACCAGTTAATATTTCTATGCTTTGTCTATAAATCAATGTTACTACTATACAAATACTAAAAACCAAGATAACATTAAAAAAATAGCATATGAACTTTACAAAAAAGGCTACTTTTAGACTTCCTAAACTAAGATTAGGATTCAAATATGCAAACAAATTTACACTTAACTAATCAAAATACATCAACAGTTTTTCTCATAAAGTGTTCGAAGTTACAATGTACAGAATCAGTACAGAATAATTCTGACTCATATAAGTTAAGTACTATACAAAGTCATCAGAAATTAACTGGTTACTTGGTATTTTGAAACAGCCATTTTTGGAAGCAAAACATGCTGAACACTTTTAGTAAGTACTGTACTTAATTTAAAAATTTTCGGTCATTGACAATGTAATCGAGTGTAGCTTAGAGTATCATCTAACATTTGAAAAACGTATGTTACTCATTCAGCTGTACCGTTATACAGGGGTAGGCAAAAGGTTTACAGGTGTGAGCACGTGAAACCGAGTTAATCTTGTACTGTTATCCATATGAACTGTAAACCTACTTTTGCCCACCCCTGTATGATACTATTAATGAAATAGCAGTCTATTCTCACTATTTGCAAATTATTTTGTTCTTAGAACTAAGTTATTAATATACAAAATTCAGTCGTCTGTATTCATAATATATTATCAAAAAAAGTGAATTCTTGAGCATTTATGGTACAGATATTCAGATCTGGGTTTCTGACCCACTTTTCTTCCCTATCACCCTTATTAACAAGAAAGAACATGAGTAGCCTCATAGACTATTTCCTCAGGTTGTTAAAGAATGCATGAGTAGTATGTATAAACAAATGTTCATTCAAGAATTTGAAATGTCCTTTATTCAAAAAGACTGGGATGAAATTTAGCAACCAATCGTCTTAATATTCTGTAAAATTATATTCTACATGTATTTACCTTATATGGCAACAAAGTTTTCTGTCAGGGTCTAATTTCATAATACAAAGATACTTTTGTTGCTTCTTTTATCCTGGGGAGTGCTATGCTCCCCAAATGGACTTCCTCCACAAAACTTCAAAAGGTATATTGTTCCCTATGGTATACAAGTTCACAAATCTAAAACACTGAGAAAACAAAGACTGATGATGAAAGGTAATCAACAAATGCCTAGCCATAGATGATCCCAACACATTTTAAAAATTTTTCCCAAATGATTTTAATTTACAAAAATTGCAAATACAGCACTGTAAAGTTTTTGCACTAAACCTTAAAATAAAGCAAGACAGTACACTAATTTAGACACGATGCCTAACATGAAAATATAGGCCAATTTTATTATCTGGGGATTCAAGAATCAACGGCTCTAGTTTGTCTCATAATCTCTGTGTTTCCCCCATTTTCCCCAGAGCTTTCAGGAACTAAACTGAAAACAGTTAAAACCTCCTTTTATTTCTTTTGACCACCTTCTGTAAGAAGTGCTAACGAGCAGTGTGGTGAAATAAACGAACTACCCTGTAAGTGGAAATTCTGAAGAGTTAAGAAAAGTATAGGAACTAGATAATAAACACGAGATAATATGCCTCCTATAAGTATGTGTGTGTGTTGGAAATGTGTACGGTCTGCATGAGTGATAAGATAATCAACAACATATTTTCTAGGCCTACTATAGTTCTTTTTCCTTACTGTCTAATCATGTAGATATCATAGTGTAGTTCAATCAAGAAAAGGTTTCCATTATATATATCTAAATTTATCTGACCAAATATGAAACAAAAGATTGATTGATACATGATTGATGTATATTGAAAAGACTAAAAAAGTCAATGTTAACCAGGCACAAATGGCATTTTTAGGACCACTATTTAAAAATTTTCATTCTGGTAACAAACAAGAAAAGAGTTAGCAGAACCTGTTTAATTTCTGGCACAAAAGAGATCCAGAAAGAGCTTTAATGATTTCTATTGTGTTGTCAGTTCTAAATGGTAGAGCAGTACCTCCAGAGGAGGCTTTAGAAACACCAAGTACTCAGTGTGTTTCCTGCCCAGTCTATATTTGATCCAGTTATCAACAATAGGGCCCAGGAGTAATTCTTATAAGCAAAAACTTACTCAAAACGCAACAAGTTCTAAAAAAAAATGTAACATTAGAGCTCAGAAGTTTGTTGATCTAGATAAGCCCTAACTACCAATAAACAATTTAATTTTTAGTAGCATCACTAATAAAGCTGTGCTGTTTGACCAGCCAATAATATAGGTTAAGCATGACAGAAATACTGTGTAATCTAAACAAAACAGCACTTTCCTTTACTCAAGTGACAGAAACATCAATTTTGCTAATCTTCAGGGCCTACCTTCTCATTGCTGGTAGTTATTTGGGTTTAAAGTGCATCAAGGCTTGGTGAAGACCCTGTAGCAAAATGTAAAAAAAAAAAATGTGTGTATATTTATGTATATAATGGTCAAAGGCCCAACCAACTGTTGTTTCTAAAATGTTTAACTAGAATCCTTTCTGGAGTTCTAAAATGAAATATTTTGTTGGAATAAATAAGACTTTAGGACTTGATAACTACACTTACATGAAAATATTTTAGTGAGAATCAGTGTGTGTAGTCTGCTGCTTGGAAAAGCTAACGTACTACTCACAAATGAGAAATTTAAGCTTGTTACATTTTCTTCATGAGCAGTACTGACCGAACAAGGAGACTTCAGATCCCATAAACACAATGATTATGGCTGTCAACAGAGGATTCAAATTCATGAATTTTCTAAAGTTCTTCCTGTATATTAACCTAAGTTCAAGTTAAGAAATAGTTAAATAACACATTCAATCTGTAATTTGAAGTACAATTAATCCATGAAAAAATAAAAGATACCATGTGTATAAAAGCTGTTTATGAGAATACATAAAGCTAAACACGGGCAGACGTGTCCTTATTGAAATACACACGTGGTAGGCCATGGGACAAGTGTGTAACCTATTAAATCCTCTTTCCTTTGAGGTACTGCACACACACGCTGTTTGTATTTTATCCCTTTTGCTACTTCTCTTAAATAAGAGCCTGGTATGCCTGCCATGTCTGCTATGAGGTTATCACTTCCCTTTAATGGAATCAGTAAGTGAAAATATGATTTCTTAACAACAGGCATGAAGTCGGGAAAGACAACAATGAAATCAAACAAACTTACAAGCCTCAGAAATGACAGCAAGACCCTCTTTAACTGACATCAGAAGAGCAAGGACCTGAGGAACAACTGAGAAAAGAAGCAGAGTAACCCTGTATAGGCAGTAATGTGGGGATAGCCCTCCATAGGCAGTAACAGCTGAGAGTTTGTAAGGGAATCCAGACGCGATGGCAGGTAAAATAAACCTGGTACTCTAGGACATTCCTGGGCACTAGGAAGAAACAAGTTCACAGGTGTAACACGGGAATTACTGAGACTTAAGGACTTGAGAGGTTTTAGGTATTCACAGCATATACATCTAAAGGAAGGGCCCTATCAGCCAGGTATACCTCAGTCTGAGTTTATTCTTTCTTAAGGCAAAGATACCTAGCTCCATTACCTACTTCCTACTCTTCTAGCTAAAAGTGAGCCGAAATCTGAAATGAAAGAGAAATATTATTCTCTTATCTGTCAAACAGTAATCACCTTGGCAAATTAAGATTCCACTGTTAAATCTAGTGGCTAAAGCCTCTAATTTATTCAGGTATACTGTTTATACTTACACTATTAATGGGAACAGTTTGTTTATTATTAATTAATATTATAATTTTATGTATCAAATGTGGTACTGAACTTGATGATGCTAATTTCCCCCCAATAGTAAAAAACTGTGCAAACCTAGAGTGTTTTTCTGACCACTGGAATTTAGTTACTTTAATAATCCATCTTGACCTGAGGCACTTTTGGCAACCATGGTCAATGGTTAAACTGGTAAGTAAAATGGTATTGATTGAATAACTGACCTGCTCCAATTCCAGTAAGTAAATACCTATAAGGATTTTCTTTAAAATTAACAATAGATCTCTTTAATAGTTTCCTCATATTCACCAAGAATAAAACTAAGATTTGTATTTGAAAAGTAACAAGAAAATTTCATTAAGCTTTGAGTTTGATTTATGTTTCCATCCATAGTGTTTCATTGGTTACTAAGACATCATGTTTCCTTAGAATAAAAAGGTATATTATTACAGATGTAAGAAAACCAAAGACCTACTCTGTTTATCATGGCTGCCTAAAATTGACAAAAGACTCTTTGTGGCCACTTCCTTTTTAAGAAACAAAACAGTTGTGAATTTCATCAATCTTTTAAAACTTATTTCATAATATATGTACTGTTGCAAATACAAAGTAACCCACTTTTCAGAAGAAAGTTTGATAAAATGAGCAAAATGCTTCAGGTGAGATTACAAAAAATGCTTTACATTTACTGTTTAGAAGATCCCTAGGATGGCCAATCAAACAGACTAGCTGATACGCAGAGTTCTCAAAGACCGCATCCACATCTTTTAACTAATTTTAAAAAAAAGACTAGTACACAGATGCCACACCACAAAACAAAATCATGCTTCAACTACTCTCTTCAAGCATTACAAAACTAATTTCCTATTTTCAATATTGTAAAAATAGACGTGTCTTCTCCAAAGGATCTTGTCCACATTGACAATCTGTGCAGTCCCTCTTATGACTGACCCTAATGGCAAAAATCAACATTATCATTCCTTAAATCCAACCTTACATAAAGTTGCATAATGCGTGGAGTAAAAGAGGAATGAAGACAAAGCATGGAACCCTGTATAAGTGTGTGGACCCAAAAGCAATCACACCAACAGCCAGAGGAAGTGGAAATTGTGAAGTAGTCTTCAACAATTTACTGTAAAGAGAGAGAAATATACATTACATGAAGTACATTGTGAGCAAAAACAAAATATGTTGACCATTTATACAGTTTTGAGAACGTGTTCTAAGTGATTTTAGATGAAGTAATTTTTCATATAATGAATTTAACTATCCATAATTTAAAAAATGACCAATCCAAGCCATATTTTGGTTAGAAAAGAGAAAAAATATTTCTATAAGGTAAATAACTAGTTTTGTTTAGTCTTTTAAGTTTTAACAGAAAAATACTAGTTGGACTTTTATTCAGCGATTCGACCTCAAGAAATCCACCCTAACAACATTTACTAAGACTTAGCTACAGAAATATTTAACCTTCCTTAAAATAACAAAAAAAACCCCAAACCACCCAACAACCCTCAACTAAATAAAAAAGGAACCATCCTTAATTTGTAAAAGGAGCATATAAGACAAGACACTAAATATTTTTAAAAGAAAAATACTGATAGTCCCTGACCTATGATGGTTAGGTTTACAATTTTTTGACTTGTTGATGGTGCAAAAATGATATGTATTCAGTAGAAATTATAATTCAAACTTTTAATTTAGATTTTTTTTCTGGCTAGCAATATGTGGTAAAATACTCTCTTGTGATGCTGGGCAGCAGCAGGGAGCCATGCAATCATGAGGGTAAACAACCAATACTCTCAGTGTAGTATTAAGTGCATTTTTGACATGATATTTTCAATTTATGATGGGCTGGCTTATCACAATGCAACCCCATCATAAGTCAAAAAGCAGCTATACTATAGAAAGCATCTGTACTTTCTATCAGAAAAGACCTTTTACTTTGAAAATAGAGAAATTGAGGATAAGAGGGGTTAAAACACTTGCCCAAGGATATAGAGTTACTAGATAACAGCCAAGATTTAAACCATTGGTTGACCTGATTCTAGAATATCTGTGAATATCTGCCAGAATCAACTGAAAAGGCTTTGAAAGCAAACAGCCAGTCAATGAAAAGTCAGGTTTTACTATGGAGAATTTTAAACATAAACATACACAAGTAGACTAACAGTATAATGAACCTCATGTATCCATCATCCAGTTTTGAAAATTATCAAGTCATGGTCAAATTTACTTTATCTATATTCCTATCAGCTTCCACTTCTGTATTTTTTGGAAGTGAATCCTAGTCACCATATCTTTTAAGGGTTAACTTTTTAAAGAAAAACATTATTATATCCTAATAAGTAAAACCAATAATTAAGAAAACAAATATAATATACTTTCATATAAACTATATTTGCATTTACACCATAATTATTATTATAGCTTTCCCTTTAGGAATAGTCAAAGTATTAGGAAGAGCATGCTTCAGACATAAAAGGGTGATAAAGCCAGGAACAGATGTCAGAAAAAAAAAGATTAAACAACCATACCTTGATTTTATTGAAACATTGTAAGTATTTCCAAGAATTGCCATAGTTGGAATAAGGATAAATGCCAGAGGTTTACATGGATCAGGATTAAGTTTAAAGTAATACCTATATCAAAGAGAAGAAAATAAAACATAAATCAACAAAGCACGCCTGATCATTTTAAATGATCAGAATTAATCAAAGCAAATAAATTTCAAAACATACCAGTAGCAATACAGATATAAGAGAGCTCTCAACAGCTCATGAAATCTTTGATAAATAAATCTTTATACCAAAGAATTATGTTCAGAAACTACTAAAGGAATTAAAATATTCACTATGAATGCACTTCCTTTTTATAAGTACGTGCCTGAAAGTTCATGTGAAAATTTTATAAAACAAATTATTTAAAATTTATTAAGACTGCTCTACTAAAAAAAAGATGAAATAAAAGTTTATATAAACTAATTGTTCCATATCTTTTTAAAATTCAAATTCTCATCTTTTGCATTTATCGATAATGCAACATCTATAGCCTTTCAAAATCATAAATTTGTGCCGCTTAAAAAATTCTCTCCCCAAATCTGTGTATAAAAATCTGGATCTTGAATAAAATGAAGGACTTAGGAAGGATATTAATATCTGGTAACCTGTGATTTAATTTATCACACTTATTTTGGTTATGTCAATTAAAAAAATACTTTCAGTATTGAGATTATCTAAAAGTTTTATATAATTTCTGAAAACTATATTGAGTAGAGGTTCAATTATTATTTGGATAGGTAGTCTGCTTTTTTGAAACAATTTGTCATTAAATAAATATTCCAGAAATATCTTGGTGGGCATTTCAGACACTTACTTGACTTAGGACACTTACCGGGTAGCAAAGAAAATGATGGTTTTTCAGTAGTAAGATAGCTGATCATTTATTTTAGTTAAATGTTTGGGACACATTAGAAAAGTATACACCTCTTTCATTATTTCTAATATTTTTAAATGGAAGCATTCCCCCCCCCCCAATTTAAGAAAACAAAACTGATCATAAATTGAAAAACGCATAAAGCACTAGCATGACGAATACCTTAAATCAACAAAATAAAGCACATTTTCACATGTGTACATCAAAGAAGGACAAAGGTGACAATTCCCTCTTCTGAGGGGCAGAGTTTGGGAAGTTTATTTTCTGAAAGCTTATATTCTCATGGTAAGGGAAAAAATGTGAATGTGCTGAAAATAAATTTCAGGGGATTTATAGCTTCCTGTTCTTGAGGAAGTTTTATGGGCTATCAGGAATCCAGCAAGTTTCTACTTACAGATATTTATTGTTTGAGCCACATAAATTGTAATTATGTCAATAAAACGCACCTAAGATTCTTTAACCAGTAAATTAAAGATGGCATGCTGAGCAGTACAATCCAGGCTAGCAGGTTGATCACAGTGCTGTGCATGCGGAGACTATCTTCAGCATCACTGGCAGATAAACGAAGCGGGTGTGCTGCAGAGTCTTTATGCTGATTGGATTTCTTTTCACCTCTTCGAGAGTGTTTCGGATTCTATAAAGCAGGAAAGTAAAAATACCAACATATTAAGTAAAATTTAAGTTTATTTTATTTAGAATCATATTCAATTATTTAATAGCAAAATAAATGCATCTTTCCATCATCAAGCGAATATAAAATACTGAAATTACCTCCTTTTAAAGTGGCCATCAGTTACAAAACTTTTATTCCTTTCACTTGCTATTTCCACTGTTAAGAATATATTTTCTAACTAATCACTCAAAATAAAATTTAAAATGTAGTTTGTAATAACAAAACTGATAAATACTGACAAAGATCAAATTAAACTTAGATAATCTAAGTGTATTTTAGCATTCATTAGGCTCATTTTCATAAAATTACTTAAATCCTTAACACCTTTTAAACAGTGTAAAATCCCAATATTAAAAAAAAACCACCCAAACTTTAAAAATTTCCCATGTTCTTTCATATTAAAGAGATGTAGAGTTTTGAAAATTAAACTTACCACAGTTTGGCTATTTTTAAAATTTGTTAGACTGGCTTGCAGATGAACAATCTGGGAAAAAGAAATGACCATTTCATTTTATTTTTATTTTGAAACAAAAACCAACTGTTTATATTAAAATTGAGAAGTATTGTAATCTAAAATTTTAAAAAATCTTAATTAAAAATTCCTTTAAACATTTAAAAATACTCTTTTAGAAAAGATAAATAATAACTACACATACTTGCTATCATGGATTAAAAAACAAAACAATACAAACTTCCAGAGTATTGGTGCCAGTATATACTGTTATACCTTTTACATTCTAGAGCCTCTGTCTGAATGATACCTTGCTATAGCAACTTAAAAATGTCTTGTGAATAAAATATTTGATTATGTTCAGTATAACATAAAGAGTAACATGTTTATACATTCTAAATCTTTGAAAATCTGAACTCAGTTATATATGGTGGTGAAATGTTTACAAGAATCTGAGAGTCTGTAAGTTTAATTTACTAGATTTGCTTAAGAATTTGAGAAAGTTTTGCTTATTGGGTTAGTTGTCTGAAATATTCAGTTAAAAAACTCAAAACATTTTATTTATAAATCGTAGTAGGTCTAAATAGTTTTTTCTGATGAAAATAATTTATAATGCGCATTTTTAGTGTTAAAGTAGATACAAATAAACCTTTGAATAAGAGAGAAAAAAAATTATCCATTCTAGTATCAACTGTATCTACATAAGACTAATGTGGAGAGTATTCAGTGTATGACTTATATTTTCCTGCCAAGCCATCAGCTTTCTTGAAAGTGTTTTTTGCTTCCCCAGTAAAACTATCAGCCTAATTATTTTTATCATTGTCTTTTGATTCTTCAGCAACAATTGTAACATTATACATTATTTCAGCTTGACTGATAGCTTGAGCCTACTGACATAACTTTGTTTTGTCTATAACCCCTGTTAAGAGATAGGTATGAATAAAAATTGTTGTAGTAAAATGTTTTATAAAAGTTAACATTACTTGCAAGAGCAGGAAGCAGTTTGAAACAGATAATATCTTTTTCCCTATCCCCTTTTTTTGACTAACCCAACTCTGATTAATAATTTCAGTTTTAAAATATATAGTTATCTATATATTTTAAATAACTAAGACAGTAAAAATATTTACACTTAAACCTGTTATACAAGATAAGATTATTTCAGTGGTAATTAAAATTTTTGTTAACACCTACAGGAAATTCTATGCCTGCCTGATACAAAGCCCAGTCATTTTTACTTTACTAATCTGACTTACCTTAAACACATAGTAAAGATAAGTAAGAAGTATGGCAAATGCTCCACAAGTTGTCCAACTAATTACAATCAAAACAATGGTCAAAAAAGGCAAGTCTGATGGTACTGTCTTGATATCTTTAGGAAGTTCAGAGGGCCTGGAAAAACAAGAATAAAACTCTTAAGTTATTTATACACTCACATACGAGAAAACAATGCAGTACTCTGCCAGTCTTTGCTGCTTACTAATATGGAAGTACCATAAGGTTAACAGTAAGATATTTTTTAATAAAGGCAGAGGGTGACATATATTTGATTGTAAATTCTGTAATATACCGGGATAGCTCCTCTTCCATTTAGATTCAGAATGGCTGATATTTGTACTAAGGAAGAAAAAAATGTTGCTAAAGATAATCAGTAATTACAGGCCCTGTACCACACATTTCTGATCTTGATAGGTGGAGAAACAGTCTCCTATTTCTTAAAGTCTCAAGATGACTCACACATGTGATGGTGTCAGAAGCACCCAGAAGGGTGGACAAAGCGTCACCCCAGAATGCCCTCTGCAACAGTAAGTCATGCAATGTGTTTGGTGAGGGCTGGCAAAGAGAACTAGGCCAATGGTTCACCAGAAAAGCCTACCAGTAATTTCAAATTATGTTTGTGGGCCTAAAATAAAACTATAGGCAATGTTTTTTGAACTCTTATACATTTCATCTAATCTGATCCTAAGTACCTCGATTGGAGCCTCTTGCTCTTGGGTTTGACTGAAAATCAGAATGAAAGCATTGCCAGAGAAATATTTCCTCCTTAGAAAATTTATAACAGCGAAATTTAAATACACTTGTGTAATCTGCCTAACATTTTTTATTAACTCAAGCAATAAGGTAAAAATCAAATGTAGCATTTAACTTGCAATAAATAATTATCTTTGACAACAACATAACTTTCAATACTAATCCAACATCTTTCCTTAGAAAGTACAGTCTAGTGAAAGCAAATTAATTTTAAGGATCGTCATCAGAATATAATTTTATTCTTAATTAGGAGAAAGCTTAAAATCATTCATTCTTTACCTTTTCAAAACTAGCCACAATGAAGAGAGGAGTCTCACAAATGCAGAAGAGAGTAGGCCACCCCAGTAGGCAGTACATGTTCCAAACAGAAAGAGAATCAAGGATACAAGGGGGAAACACATACTCTGACTAGTCAAGACGATGACATCTAATTCTGGTAATAATAAAACATCCCATATTTCTTTAAACCACTTATACCTGTGGATAAAAGAAAATGTACAATTAAAAGCAAAAAAAGTCAACAACTGACATTCAAGGACTTAATATTTGACATGTATGACCATTCACTGGAGTCTCCAAATTACCAAGATACTTAATTTGTAATTATACTAAAAAAGAAATTTCAAGTCATTTATCTTCCAACAGAGTCTACTAATCTTAAAGGATCTGAGTCCTGAGTTGCAGTACAGTGTTACTGCTCTCTATTGTTCTGTGTAAGGATTTTTTTTTTTTTAAGTTATTAGAAAGCCAATGGCTAGTTTTAATGACAGAAGAAAAAAGATCTAAGCAATGGTTCTTAAGCAAAAACCAAATTTGTATAAATTTCTAAGTAGGGCAGAGAGATCTAAAATATACTTTGTATGGGAAGAAAGAAAAAGTAATCTGGGGCACTGTTCCTTCAATATCCTATAATGGTTGTATTCATGTTCTGGGATATTCAAAGATCATAGACCATATACATCCAACTGCAAATGTTAAAGGCCTGGTATATTTACAGTTGAAGTTTAGGTTGATATATATATAAGTTCAATAATTACTTTTGAAATGATTATACTATTATCAGGCCTTTGTCTAAGAGAAAAATCCCATTTATTAAAACAAGTCAACTGCGATATTTGTATGAAACTTATATTTCATTATGAAGACAAACAATGTTTTATATACAAAATTAAAATTATCATAGATAATAAGACTTACCCCAACAGAAACTTAGTCATAATTACAAAAGGATCAACTTTGTATGGTTTGGCTTCTTTATCCAACATAGTGGCATATTCTAAGCAATGACCTGGTGATTTAAAAAAATTACATTTAGTAAAGAATTCACAGTAATTAAAGATGAGACACATTATATCCTGCACTGTCTGTAAGAGCAACATACGTGATGTCAGAAAAGGCAAGGGTCTTCATTACTACCACAGAGACTCTTCAAAAGATGAAACGTTACTGTAATTCAGTGGTTCTCACACAAGAATGCACATTCAATCACTCATGAAACAAATTCTGGAAGCCAAGGCTGGGATTTCACCACCTGTATTTTCACAAAGCTCCAGAGGTGATTTTTAAAAAAAAAACAACTTTACTAGATATAATTTTCATACCACACAATTCATCTGTTTAAAGTATATGCCATTCAGTGTTTTTAGTATATTCATCACACATCCATCTCATCAATTAATCTTAGAACATTTTCATTACTCCCCAAACAAACTCTGCTCCCCTTAACTATCACCTCCAATGCTTCCCCATTCCTAGGCAACCACTAATCTAGGTTTCTTTCTTGGTAAATTGGCCTATTCTGACCATTTCATATAAATGGAATCATATATTATGTGGTCTTTTGTGACTGGCTCCTTTCACTTAGCATGTTTCCAAGATTTATCCATGTTGTAGCATGTATCAGCACATTTAATCCATTCATCAGCTGACGAACATATGGGTTGTTTCCACTTTTTAGCTATTATGAATAACGCTCCCATGAACATCTATGTATAAGTTTAGTGTGGGTGTATGTTTTCATCCCTCTTGGGTACACATCTAGGAGTGGAGTTGCTGAGTCCTATGGTAACTCTGTTTAACCATTTATGGAACTGCCAGACTGCTTTCCAAAGCAGCTATTCCATTTTACATTCCCACCAGCAGTGTATGAATGTTTCAATTTCTCTACACTTGTAATTATATTTCTTTTTTTATTTATAGTCATTCTAGTGAGTATGACCCACAGTGGTTCTTGATAAACATCCTTGGTTCAGAATTACTTCTTTAATTGGTTTGAGACATACTCCCACACTTAAATCCTCTAGGTTAACCAATATATATCTCTGGGATCTCTATGAACTATCTGGATATAAATTCTGTATTTTTGAGAATCAATTATCAAGTCATTTAAAAACAAGAAGAATAAAATAGCTCTTTCAAACTTTAAAAAAAATGTTTATATTCAAATCTGGTGATGTCATATTGCCAAAATAATCTCTTAATTAAAAGACTGGCTCTGGGCAGATTTCACTGAATGTTGCTTCTTCGTTCCTAGAATATAAATTAAATTTCAGGTTAAAATGAACACTTAAAGGCAGACTGGAAATTGTAAAAAGTCATTAAAAGGGGAATGAGTAGCTCTGGAAGGATTTGGCAAAATGGAAAATAGTAGAGATTTTTGGACTGTTTTTATATATTTTGGCCGCATTCTCTTTTCCTATCTATTGCCTCCCTTGATTACTGTCCAAACGCAACAGTTTGTAAGGACCTTATGAAGTTGAGCCTACTGGGAAACTATTCTAATTACTATTCTCTATGGAGGACCTGTCCATTGTACCATATATTCTATATTTGCCTCTCCAGATCCATTCTTCACTCTATTTTGCTCTGAATTTTGGGAGGCTGAATTTTATGGACTGGCTTCTAGTTAGGTTCAGTGAGTGAGAGGTACTGGCAGATAGGAGAATGGATGGAAACAGGGTTAGTGTATTCAGTCTCTGCCTGTTCCCTGCTGAGACACAGACTAACAGTGGCTGCAGTTCCCGTACCCAAGACTGCAGCTACAGCAATGCTGTTCTCTCCTACAGCTCTCTAGGTCTGCTCTCCCCCTTGCCCTGGTACCTACAGTATCAGGTGGCTCTGTTGCTAATCTGGCACTTTATCATTTCTTGTTAGCATACCTTTGAAATAGTCCCTTCATTAAACTCTCCATTATTCCAGTCAGTGTGCCAGGACCTAATTAATACAGCTAATTTTACCCTGAATGCCTACTATGTGCTTAGCACTATGTTAGGCACCAGGAATAGAATGGAGAACAGATTCCTTGTCAATAAGCCTCTACATATTAAGAGGTCCTCAGAATAGAGTGAAGAAACTTCAGGCACACGAGTATAAAATGGAGAAAACAAGTAAGAAATTTCTTGGGGATCTCTTAAAACTTAGAGGATCTCAAATCCCTATAAACTTGAGAGATGAGTTATAAATTGTCAAGAAATTGATGTGTCTTCCTTAGCCACATGAAAGATAAACTAGTAATAACGAAGCACTGAGGGAGGGAGGGGGAGGTATAACATTACCTGCTGAGAAAAGAGAATATAACTGTCCTCCATAAGCAAGAAGGATGCTAGATACAACATAAGCAGGAAGAGCTCCACCATGAAATCTAACTACCTAGAAAACAGGCAAATCAATGGACAACTTCTAAATATTCATGTTAATAACATAAATGTATTTTCACATGAAATAAAAAAGTTCTTCACTTTATATCTTTCATGATATGGCCACACAGGTATTTCCAGTAATGAGTATCAAAACTCTAAGTAAAGTAAATGTTAATAATATATAACACATTAGAAACATGGTATCTGAATTTTTCATCAAAGGCATAATAAGGAGAATATATAATTGAGTAGCAAGTGCTACGAACTTTTTTATAAGGCACATTTACTGAGCATTTGCTATGTTCAAGGCATGATATTAAACATCTTACATGCATTATCTCATGCTCTCCTCCCAAAATCCTTTAAGGTAGTTCTTATCCTTATTTACAGAAGAAATACAGGCACAGGGAGCAGCAGTCACCTGCACAATTAAAAACTTCATATACAAGCAAGTTACTTACTTATTACTTCCCTATGTCCTCATCAGTAAAATGGGGACAATAATAACACTTACCTTATAGATAGTTTTAAGGATTTAACATATTCATTTGTGTAAAGCATTTAGAATATTAATTCAAACATGTAAGCTATCAGAAAATATTAGCTGCTATTATTAAAGTTTTATGTCTGTCACTGTCTTTGGCCTTCTTGTGGAATGGAATTTGACTCAAGCCTAAGTTCATAATCATTGTTATAAAGCCTCAAATCATTCTATAGGCTGACCCAATGTCTACAAAAAACATACATAACACCAAAAAGTGTTCTTTTTAAAAAAAATTTTTACTTATTGATTTGAGAGGAAGAGGGAGAGAGAGAAAGAGAGAGCGAAATATCAATTTGTTGTCCCATTTATTTATGCATTCATTTGTTGCTTCTTGTATGTGCCTTGACCAGGAATTGAACCCAAAACCTTGGAGTTTTAGAATGACACTCTAATCAACTAAGCTACTGGGCCAGGCTAAGTTCTTATTTTTAAAAAAATTTTTTTTATTTTAGAGAGGAAGGGAGAGGGAAAGAGAGAAACATCTATCATTTGCCTCCCGTATGCACCCCGACCGGGGATCAAACCTGAAACCGGGGTAATGTGAGGGTCAAATGAGATAATGCATATGAAAAAGTTCCTAACTCAATTTTGATTTGTAAGTTTTATTATAATTATAGAATGACTTAAATTAAAAATATTCTGCTATGCCATGATTGCAAAACACAAAAAATAAAGTGAAAGCAATAAAAGGCACAATAAAAATTTTAGTGAATTTTAAAGTTATATAATTGTCTGACTAATTAATATTATCTATATTCTGGTTATAATTCTGCAAATTATAATGATGTTGAATAATAATATACTAGATATGCTGCATGATAATTTATTTTTGTAATACTATTTACCTATGAATTATAGAAAGATACTCTAAATAAATTTAAACTATATTTTCAACATGTTTATTGAAATATAATTTACTTTTAGCTTTTACAAATTGAGCATGCACAAAATTAAAAGTTCTCTGAAAATGTTCATTTATGTGATGGAGTCTAGATTTTATTATACTATGAATTATTATGTACGATCAACATGAAATCTTAATATGACATTCATTTAGCCAAGAATATTAATTTGTTTGAGAATCAGGAATCAGCTCTCATTTCTAGAAATTATCAAACATGAAAGTATCCTCTAAAAGCCAGTGTGGCCAACTATGGCCTGTGTGCCAAGAATGGTTTTTAGATTCTATTAAAGTGGAAGAAAGAAGAAAAAGGGAGAAAGAAGAAGAAAGAAGCAGTTGTAGTAGTGCTGGCAGCAGCAAGAAGCCACATGTGGTCTGTTAAAATATTTATTATCTGGCCCTTTATAGAAGAAATTTGCAACCCCTGCCTTACAGTATCTATTCACAAGGCCATAAATAATCCAACAGGAGTCTCTCTTACCTGTCCAAGTATTTGTGGAAAGGAAGTCTTAATTGTCACCTATTTTAAAACAATCATTAAAAAAAGGTTATTTTCCCTAAAGCTGCTCTCGTTCACATTTTATTAAATTGTGCATTTTATTAAAATAAAAATTAACTCAATAGTAATAAGCCTAAAGACACTCAAGATCTCAAAAGAATCCTCTGAACCATCAACATTTAATTTTATCAAGGGTAATTTTACTGGTCAGTATATTTGCCCATATTCTAATTCTTTGACAAATGAATGCTATGGTATACACAGTAATTCTTTACTAACTACAATATTTAATTAACCAGGATATTTTATTACCAGATCAAGCAAGCTAAACAAATTTATGAAATGATCGAGTCCAGAGCTATACATATGTCTGCTGAAAAATTAAGCACAAATTAATCAACCTATTATATAACCAGTACTTTAAAGTCTCAAACCTATAACTGTAGAGCACTAAATTGAGTTAAGGTAAACCAATTCTGAGAAAATTTCATAAAAATTGGTTTCACATGATAAAAGACCAGGAAAAAAAACAGCATAATTCAGTAAAATTTAAGCCGAAACAATATTTTAAACAGATATTCATCATTAATTATCTCTAGCATAAATATGCCTTTTTTGATATTAGGAAGCCTGAGAAAAGGATATAAATCTTTCACAGGGAGGTTATAAAATGATTACATTTTATCAATAAAGACTTTTTGAAAATATGAAGTATTTGTAAAAACATGAGCATTTTGAGAGTGTGCAGTATTTAGAGCCAAGTTATTAACACAATTCTTACTATCTCTGTAAAATATGAAGGTACAAGTTAAAAACCATTACACCCTGTAAAATCCTTCAATTGCTAGAAACAGAAAGCAAGATATCAAAGCATTAAAAAATTCCATGAAATCTAAAATAACTCATAATATTGGTCCAACTGAAACCTGGTTGTAGGAACAAATTCTATTCATTTGACCTACCAATTCTAGTTTCCCTAAGAAAGTTAGTTCTAATAAAGATTCCAAGTATTTAAGCTTGGTTTAAAGCAGTTGAGTAGAAACAAGGTATTTCACATAAACTAGAAACCTGTGGTGTCACCACAAATGTGTCCTTCAACCACTTAAATCTGGAATCTTTAGAGCCTGGCATGTTTAATACAGAAAGGGACTCTTTTAGTTCATGAGTCCATAACTTAATAAAATCGAGTTTTATGTCCCTTCTCTTAGTACAAAGAAATCTATGTGATTGTAACACAAACACAAAAAGTACTAAATTGCACATACTAATGACTAACAGAGCCTAATATAATTAGTGAAAAGGAAAGAAGATCCTTAAGTTTATCCAATAGAGCTAGAAACCAATACACATCATGTTTTATTACTGAATTTAAGCCACATAGCTGATTTCATGATGTTCTTCAATTTAAAGGATTCTCGACTTTTTTGCTTCCAAATTGAAAGAAATGGTTAAACTACAGTTGCAATTTTAATTTTATTTTCTATTACTTATTAAGATGTATACTTTCAGTGATCCAGCTAAGAATACTGAGGTGATGCTAATAATAGGTAAATGGAGAATATTTAAAGTAATGTAAATGTCTATTTCTTTTTCTATAAATGTCTATTTCTAATAGCTATTGCCTTCTACATCACCATATATCTGAAGCTAATATAAAAATATATTTCCAGTTTATTCTGTAACTAAGTCTTAAAAATTAAGCAAACATACAGCTTACCTCATACTGACAGTCTGATGATGTGTACATTTTTAATAATGCTACATGGCTGTCATTTTCTGGTTGAGCAACATGGAGTTTCAGAGACATTTCTGTTGAAGATGGAACCCTGAAAAGTAACTTAAATATCAATTCTCAAATGCAAAATGCTATTAAATAACAATGGCTAAGTCAATCTTTGGCACAACACAACACGATGATAATGTAGAGAGGAAGCTAGATCTCAGACATATTATTATGGATGGACACTTTCAGTCACATCACAGTTGTCTGAATGCTCCCTCTAGGATATAGGAGTTGGGAGAGAGGGTGGGAAAAGGTTGATTTTTCAAGCAATTAAGGTTTAAATCCTTTATCACTTAAATAAGAATACTATGTATTATATTATCTTACAGGCACAATGCTATATTAAGAATACCTACATTTTACATAATTTCACTTTGATTTAAATAAACTAAGTAGAAAGTGTGTTATTCAAAAACACAGAACTTTAAGGTAAATTCTTTCATATACTTACTGTGCAATGGTTAGTGAATCTTCATAAGACCAGGGAATATGAAGTTTATAGATACTAGTTATTTCTTCTGTGAAAACATAAAGAAAATATGTATTACTAACCGTATGCCACACTAAATGTTATATGAGCTACTATACTACCTAGCTAATTATACAATTACCCATTTCATACAAAATCAGTAGGAGTTATATCACATAATAGAAAATTATGGAGAATTATCAAGTAATAATGTTTAATAAGATTTACAAAAGATATTAGAGCATACGGGATGTACTAAGAAACTGGAAAAACATTAAACAGCTGAATTTGAATTACTACTATAATAAGGCAGCAAGATATATAGTATTTTTTAAATGTTGGTATTCAGTCCTGGCCTGTGTGGCTCAGTTGGTTGAGCGTCGTGCTGTGCACTGAAAGATTGAGGGTTAGATTACCAGTGGAAATATAAACAGCTTTTCTATTATATTAAAATTTACTTCACAGAAATATATTGAAAACCTGGCCAGCATGGCTCAGTGGTTGAGCAATGACCTATGATCCAGGAGATTGAGGTTGGATTCCAGGTCAGGGCACTTGCCCAGGTTTTGGGCTCGATCCCCAATGGGGGCCATGCAGGAGGCAGCTGATCAATGACTCTCATCATTGATGTTTCTATCTCTCCCTCTCCCTTCCTCTCTCTCTCTAGAGAGAAGCATAAATATTATAGAAAATTCAAGCAAAAACCTACTGATTCTTCAAATGACAATACCATTTAATATTTTTAGAAAATACACTTACCTTTGACTCCTGAGCACCTGCTTACTATGTTGACTTTAAAAGCTTGGTATATCTAATAGAGTTTGACCACAAAAACAAAAACAAAAGTTTACTTGTTTGTTTAACTAAGCAGTAAAGTAAAATCAAATCCTTGTTATAGTCAGGAAAATTACCTGTCCAAAGTTCAGAAGCTCTATATTATAGAATAGGCCGCTTGTATTTAATTTCACTTTCCTTGAAGATAATCCTGTTAAATTAAAAGTACCGTACTGCTTAGAATATGAAAGAATAAAAAGAGTTACCAATTGCTTAATGTTAAAATAATGCCAACAGATTTTTAATATTAAAAAACAGTTTACAGGTTCTGACTTCTGACATGAAGGAATGAACTAAAAATCCAATCCTCTTTCAATAAACTGGAAAAAACATTTATAATTAATGCCTTTCAATAACATGTATGTGTTTTAAAAAATCAAGTACATATTTCCAATTTCAAAAAGGAAAGGTTTCTTGGTAGATCTCTTATTTTATAAGCTTGCTATCTTTAATGAGCTAGGTGACAGAGTTGTCATTTCTGTATTGTTCCGAGTAATTTTCTACCAAAAAAGGGTAGGGAAAGGATAAAAATCTTAAAGGAAGTTTCCTCTATCAAGTAATATAGATTCTTTTCATGAATGGCATTGAAGAGAACAAGAGCCAACCAAAATTGAGATTCCAATATCCGAAACCAGAAAAACTTAAGCAAAAAAAAAAAAAGTAACAATAATATTGGATTGTAACCCAATGAACAAAATAAATATGCATGAGTCCATTACTGACATAAATAAAAATTGAAAAAAATAAGTAAATAAATCAGGGAGAAGGGAGAACTTTCCCTTAGGAAGAATTCCAATAAATACAGAATATCAGTGATAACTGCTTCAGACTAGGTGAACCAATGGATACTAAGATTAGTGGGTTATTTTGAAGAAAAACAGGATACTTACTCTCAAAGTATCTCCCCCAAGATATTTATTAATTACAGTAAGTTTACAGTGGAAAAACCTGGCAGACACCACCTTAACCAAGTGACCAAGGTTAACATCACCAGTATTCAGACAGAGTAAGAGCATGTGTCGTCTGATAGGATACATTGAGGAGTGCTTATTACTTCTGTGATATTCTTGCCAAAAATGCATAACCTCGACTGAGAAAGCATTAGACAAATCCAAATTGAGGGATATTCTACAAAATAACTGACCAGTACTCTTCAAAGATATCAAAATTATGAAAGACAAGGAAAGACTGAGGAACTATAAAAGATTAGAGGAGACACGAAAATTAAAAGCAATGTGGGAACCTGGAGAACACAGATAGAAAACCCAATGAAAACCAAATAAATCCTGTAGTTTAGTTAATAGTATTACCCAATTGATGTGTCTCACAGTGATGTTTCTCTCTCTCCCTCTCTCTCTCTTCCCCCACACTTCCCTCTCTCCTTTCCACTTTCTCTAAAAATCAATGGAAAAAATATCCTTGGGTGAGGGTTAATAAAAAAAAAAGGCCCAATATTTAGTATGAATTCACATGAGAAAACACATACATACACACACAAACACACACAGCTACCTGCAAACATATGTGATCATGGAGAAACTTCTTTTAAAGCTCACTTCTCAGAAGATGACTGCTGGCCCAGTATTAATAAGAATCAAATTACTGAACCACAGCATATGGTTTCTCTAAGAACTACACTTGAAATACACAATACTCTTGTTACATGGTTCTGCTTTATTGCAATGACTCGCAAAAGAAATCAGTAGTTAAAAATAAAAGCAATTCTTAAGATTTCCAAAATCAAAATACTTACCAAATGAAAAAAGATGAGTTACAGGAAGCTGTATGGATCTTGCCTCTCTTTTAAAGAATTCACAATCTACAACAAACTGAAATTTAAAACATTGATTAGGAAAAAACCAGAAATTTTTAGTAAATTATCTTGATGTTTGAGTGGAAAATAAGTCTTCAGTTTTGGAGACATATTATGTGTCACAATAACTCTGTCTGTACTTAAATGGCAAGCATTCCTCAAGCAGAGGTGCTAAACTAAGAAATTTTGATAAACAAGCTTAATTTAATAAATAAATTATTACTGGGTCATTGCTATAAGAACAGATCTATACAAAGTTTTCTTGTAGTTAATTTTAGGTGTTTCTAGAAGAGTGACATTGAAGAAGGGAGCCAAGCATCAAGAGACAAGGTTAACTCAAGATTAATTAGGGATTTAAATAATACATGTAAATACTTTCATAGTCAAAACAAAAATTTGATTTTGTTACTTTAAAAAAAAAATCCCACATTATTAAGTATCTACAGTCTAATTAGACTTAAAAAGGCTTTTGGAGACATACTACCATTCATCTACAGATGGCTGATGTTATTTGTATAAAATTATTTCTGGCTAAACGGTAATTATAATAAATAAAAAAAGGTTTACTATGTATGAAGCAAGAAAAAGAAATGTTATCTCAAAAAAAGTAAACCTAAAATATGACATCTGTAGTAAATTTTTTGGTAATGTTTCTTTTCTAATAACATTTTTACAAAGGCATAAGGAACATGCTCTTGTCTACAGTACTACTTTGATCTACAGGAGCTACAGAAGAAATTAATCTGATGCCTAACTGCAGCTAGAAATTTGTCTGCTGTCTACAGAAAGCAGAAAGCCAGTGGGGTCTATCCTAGGCTTTTCTAATTACACCTTGGATTGTGTTTGAAGCAGTGTTATTGTGTTTGCCTCTTGGGTGAATTTTTTACTATTTTGAAAGTGAAAAACAGAGGACAGAAAATGCTATTAGGCTGTAGTACACACATGGAATTTTTTAAAAATCATGTTAAGGAGATTTGCTTTAATTTTTTCCTCTTACAAGGCAAAGAACACAGATATTTTCATTATAGAAAGCAGCTAATAGAACGTTAGAGAAATCATTTATTAAACAGGATTATTCATTACATTTTTGCAAAGTAATTTTGAGTGAGCCATTGCCTGAGATAGGGAAGGTATTTTAAATTACTTTGTACAGGTATCTAAAATAATACAATTTTTAAATTAAATTTATTGAGGTAACATTGGTTAATAAGGTTATATAGGTTTCAAGTGTACAATTCTATGTATAGTGCACTATGTGCCCACTACCCAAAACCAAATCTTCTTCCACCACCATATATTTAACCCCCTTTTTCCCTTTATTACCCCTCCACCCCCCTTCCCTCTGGTGACCACCACACTGCTCTCCATGTCTGACTTTTTTTTCATTTGTTGCTTTTAGTTTTATACCCCATATCATGCTAAGTGAAATAAGTCAGATAGAAAAATTTTAAATAATACAATTTTTATTATCACTTAAAAAACTTTGGCCATGCTTTTTATAAAGTAAACCCTTACCCAAGAAAGATATCAAGGGTCTCTCTCTGAAACATCTGAGGTAAATAAAGTTCTAATGGATTTAGTTATTATGTTTTCTGTCATTAAAAAAGATGCAGATTAATTCCACATTTGCATTTTGAAAACCATATTTTCAGCTGACACAAAATTTCTTAAACTCCCAATTTAAAAATACATATCCTTGTGACAGGCTGTAACAGGCATAGAACTGAAAGGCCTAAGTTACCGTCCTAGTGAGATGGTGTGTGCAACAGTAGCATCAGCAGTGGTACTTTTCAAAGAGCATTAGGACATGTTACACATTTATTAGGCTGCTAAGACTTCTTGTTTGTCAAAAGCTAATTAATATCTTGGAATAACCAGGGATGACCTTTCCAAGTTTGAGAAAGATGTCAAATTCACTCAAAACCAACTTACCTGACAGAAAAACCCTTAAAGAGAGTTTTTAGTATTGAAGATGCTGAATTATCTCTCACTTGAGCTAAGCAAAACAAAACAATGAATCCATTATAAGCTACTTGTGAGACTCAGTCTTTGAGATGACTCCCAACTACATCCCCTTTTCCCTTTCACTTTAAAGTTTTTTAATGATTTTGGCTAAAAATCTCATCAACTTTCTCATTCAAGAAACATTATTTGAACATTTACGTGGAAGTACCTACATGTTGAAGATGCAAAGTAAAATAAAATCTATCTGATCCTTACTCTGAAAGAATTCACAGTATGATGATGGTGATAGAGACATACATAAATTATAATTCAGTGTAATAAAATCCTCAAAGAGGTTATAAACTAAGTAGCATGGGAGTAAGAAAGAGGTTACTGAAGGAATCTAGAAAAGGGCAAAAGGGAACACTTAGGCTAGATCTTGAAGGATAATTTTGTTGGGTGAAGAAATGTGGAAAGGGGAATAGAAGGTCTTTTACCTCCATCTTCTTTCCCCACTACTTCTCTCAAAAATCACTATCTTTTATTTCTACTTCTACTTCCCTAGTACAAGCCCTCATAACCCCTTATGAGGTGCCTACTCTATTTCTAATCCATCCTATACCTTAAATAGATTCATCTTCCAAAATAGGTCTGATCCCATTATTACTATTGTAAAAAATCTTTCAGTTCCTTACTGACTCCTGAATATTGTTAAGTCCTTAATCTTCCAATCAAAGCCCTCCACAATATGGCAATGAACTACTTTGCTACTATTTAGCATGATGTTACTATTTAGCATCTTGAATGCTGCTAGTACAATAAAGGAACTGAATTTCTAATTTTATTTGATTTTAATTAACTTGAAATGAAATAGACACATATTGGATAGCACAGGTCTAGAATCATTCTACCTATAAAAATCCTAACTATCCTTTAAGGCAATTTAAAAATCATCTCATAATAAAGCCTTTCTTGATTCCACTTTTCATGAATTTGCTATATTCTGATTTGTATCATATATATTTGAGTCCCTCTTTTATTCTCATTCTTCCCCCAGTTTCCAAATATATTTCTCTTCCCCTATCCAAAAGTATGTAGCTTTTTTAGAATAGGGTTAGTTTCTTCCTCATTTGTGTGCCTCCTATAATTCCTGGCATAGACTCTTGCATATAAAAGGGTCTCAATAATTAATAGATTTTGAAAGACTGATGTTCCCACTTGGAATAAAGAGACTTTGGTTTTATTCTGCTTAGTTCAAGTTAGAGTAGGGATCCTACCAGTCTTAGGTGGATCACCAAACTGGCCATTGTTTTAGATAAGCCCTATGCTGAAATAGTAATAAAAAAAATAACAAATATTTAGCATGAGTAGCCCCAAAACATGCTGGTAACAACATTAATCCATTTGTTACCTTACTTCCATGAACAGATGGTACATAAACAACAAGATGAGACAAAGATGGGTAGTCTTGAAGTCTTAATGTCAGAGACTAAAAAAAAAGATTAAAGTAAAAAGCTGATTTTATTTCTTGTTAACAGAGCTTAAAGCATATTAAAAGAAAAATAAATTACAAACACACTGTCTCTTATTTAATAAGTTACAAAAAACATTTCAAACTTTATGTTCAATATTCCATAATGTGCTCATGTTTATATTTTCAGGTCAATAATCCTGCTGAAAGTCAAATTCCTAATAATTATGTAAATATGGACTACCAGAAAGAGTCCCTATATCCCTTGAACTGTATGTATCCCTTCATGTAAAACTAATGACATTTAATATTAAATTTAAATATTTTACATAATTATTTCCAGATTTGATCTTTCTTTTTATAATTTGTTTCAAACAATGTTACAGCATTCTTTCTGTATTTATTTTGGTTAAATATGATGGAAGAATTGGAACTTAATCTCAAATGATTCTGATCTAGCCTAAGTAGTAAAGAGTTGCTGGCTAATGATATATATGAACATCATCCCCTAGAACTTATTCAGTAAATGAGATGAAGACACAGTAAGACTAATAATGTACCTCACCAAAATGAATATCTATTCCCTTCTCAAAATTAAGACCAGATCCTATAGACCATATTTTGAGGAATAAATAGATACGAGACTGGTCTATTTAATGAAAAGCCAAGTCACCAAATACAGTTCTTAAACCCACTTTTTTTCCTGAAAGTATATGTAGGAGTGACAGTAGTTGTATGTTGTTACAATCTGTATGCATTAAGAAATTTCTGCAGATAACTTGATCCATTGTTCTTCAGATGCACCTATGTGGGCAATTCCAGACAGCGGTTCTGAAGCTGAAGAACTGTCTATGAGTGGCCATCTAACAAGCTAATCAGATTTACTTGGCGATGCTTGTTAAACTCCTGGGCTTCACCTCAGCTAACTCGGCAAAGCTACTGCAACAGATATATATCCTAATGTAAGTGAAAGGGCCTTAAACATACCCTCAAACTGAATTTTCAAAATTTATCTAACTCTTGGTATGATGCTATAAGATACAGATTTCATTTTATTTACAACATTAATAGTTTTTCCCTCTAAAAGTTAAAAAAATAGGTTTTTCTCCATTAAATTTCTCCGTTTCTAGGGAAAATATTTCTAAAATGCAGATTAACAAATCTCAAGTCTATTTAATACTTAGATGAATTAATAAAATATCATATTCTAAAATGGCTATAGACTCAAGTACTTTTTCACCTAAATATTAAAATTCTAAAGCCATAGTTTACCTTAATTGTTGGCAGCAGTTCAGCTTTCCATGATAAATCAACCCCTTGCTGGCTATGAAATAAATATGTAAATATAATTAAAGGACAAATATATTAAAGTTTTATAAATTATAAGTAAGCTTCAGAGGAAAAATAAACCATCTACAGAGCTACCAGAGACAGTTCTAATGAAATAAAGTCTAATAAGTCTAATCCAATATATTCTATCCACACAGTCCCTTTTGGAACAAAAAAATTGTTTTCCCTAGCAACCAATTCTTTCAATGTTTGCAAAAATTACTGCTACATTAATGTCCTTTATTTTTCACTTTAAAACCAATACTTTAATTTAGTATATCACCAAAATGAGTTTAAAATGTATGAAGCTATTCTGAACGTGTAATATGTGAGTGTGTTTATGTTGAGAAAAATGAATGAAAGGCCATAGATTCAAAAGACTTACCACATAGAAGTGCTGTTTATGCAGCCAAAAATCCAACTATTTGTATCCTGTTAATCAATAACACAAATAAAGCACACTAAGTAGTGGAGAAAATAATTATGTAAAATAGGCATCTTCACAATATTTTACTGTTATATGATAGGGTCAGTAGGCACAATGAAAACATAAAATAGTAACTTATTATTTAGGAATGTGTCCAAGATGTTCTAAAAGTCAAATAGGTCCGGGGTAGGCAAAGAAGTCTATAGTCAACAAGACAGGTAAGCAAGTAACCTGGAGTAGCAATATGAGGAAGAGTAACCTGATAGGCATCTCTCCATGGCACATTACCAAGCATTTCTAATTTTTGAACTTACATTTTAAGTTTGGCAATGTCCATAGTTTAATTAAGTAGTTACATAGTAAGTAACCTACATTTTAACAAAAATAGAGAAATGAACAACTAGAGGTGGGCTTTTACACAAACAAAAAAATCCACAGTCAAGTAATTAAAAGTAACAATTAATCTAAGTACAGCCTTTTAGTTTATCATTTGAGTTCTTATCTGACTACCAGGCAGATAACTTCTAAGCAGCTGAGAAGGTGTTTGGATTGAAATACAATCCAAGACTGAAGCCAATTACTACTTTATCAGCGTATCACGGAAATACTGCAGAGATGGTTGTGATGTTTTAACAATATTATGTATTTAGCTTCAGTCATTTAAGAGAAGTATGACCTAAGATCATTCTAGCTTTTAAGGAAATAGTAAGAGCAATGCTCCAAGACCTGATGATCCAACTGCTGAAATCCTACCAGGGCATAAGAAGATGAGAAACATTGCTCAGATGGCCACATAATTCTTCCTTAGTATACACATAGGTCAATAAAAATAAAAAAAATCAGTCCTTTCATCACACTAATATTTATAGTTTACAAAGTCCAGTCCAGGGCCAAGGAAGAGGGTAAATCAGGCAGACATGGTCTTTGCTCTCATGAAACTTAAATAAAAATTTCAGACATTTTTCAAGAATACAGAAAAGAAAGCTGAAAGGAAACAAACAAAAAACAATACGGTATTTCTCTGCTCTCCATTGCTGGCAAAATACCTGTGTGACTTCTGTATCAGCTACCCAAGCGTCTCAGAACAGTAATGTGACATTATAAAGGAAGGCAACAAAACATCTGCATGATCTAGACAAAGAAAACCTAACAGCCTCTCAACATCCAGCCCACTTTTATACTAAATACTAAATTGGAAAAATGAACAGATAGCCTTTTAAATTTACATAAAATGTACCAATCATCTTACCAGCATGGTGCTCTGACAATAGGCATGAGTGTGGATTTTTCTATGATTTGCAAGAGGAAATGTAAAATATATTTTATCAGATTCCTAAAAAAAAAAAAAAGGAAAATCACAATAAAACTATCATAAGGATGGGTAATTTCATTATACAAAAATCCAGGTAAGGTAGTCAGTAATTATTCTATCATTCCTGGTGTTGTTGAGAACCAATATTCTAGGAGTGGGAAGAAGAGACAGATGTAAGGTACAAAGAAGAAGAGAGATCAGGTACAAACCCTATAGTCCTAAAATCTGTCTTAAAAGTATCAGTATGAATGCATGTTTTTTTGGTTTGGTTTTTGGCCTTATGATCAAGATAAAATACCGTTCTTAGCTCTGTCCACTGAAAAGGCCTAGAAATGCTAACCCACTAGCTGCAAACATATCTAGTGCCCTGATTATGGATTTTAGGTGCTATTTCCCAAATATTGGAAGACTTCCTTAGAGAATAAAGCTGATTCAAGGTCTGGGACAAGGGATATACAAAATGAGCTGAAATATCTTCTCATACTAGATAGTGAGAAAACTATCAAAGACAACTAAAGAGCAGCTATATCAAAACATTCTGGAGCCTAACTTGAAATGGCGTACACTAGTCAAAGATAGAACACTTTTAATACCAATTTTAGTATAAAGATAGAACAATTTTAATATTTTAGTTCAGATAGAAAGACAAATATGCTTAGATACACGAGTTCATAATAATATTAAGGAGGAAAAAATTCCAAAATCTCTTATGGTCACTAATGGAAGATGTTTGTGAACCGACTCACTATTCTGAAAACCAGTAAATATAAGATCCAAAGATCCAAGTAATTGACATTTTTTTCCTTTATGATTTATTCCATTTTTGATCAATTTACTAAATCAGTTTTTCTATATAGTGTTCCAGTTAATAAAAGAAGAAGAAATAATCAAATTAGAGTATCATCATTTTTGCATCCCTCTAAATGAACTGATACTAGGCATGATTCCTCAATAACTGTAAACATCACAAAAAGTGAGACAATCTAGCAAAAGCAAAAACCTGAATCTGACTGAGTATCTAGATTCAAATACTATGTCACAGCAAAAGAGTAGGCAAAGGAATAAGTTGAATGGCACTATAGGGATGCAATCAGAAAATCAAGACTGTGAAACTATAGGACAAATGACTTGTTTTCATCAAGAAATAAACTGCAAGGGAAAAAAGGTGGTTAAGTAAGTATTAGAGATTAAAAGAATAAGACACATCTCAACAATTACGTGGACCTTGTTTGTCCTGATTTAAACAAATTGAAAAACAAAGAAATAAAAAATTTGACAGTTATAAAACTGGAAAACCGAACACCAAGTAGGTATTTATTATTATGGAATTATTATTAAATTGTTTTAATGTGGCAAAATGATATGTGGTTATCTTTTTCAAAGAGACTTTAACATTTAAAGATAAATACTAATTTTTTTTAAAGTAAAAGAAAATCTACTGGTGGTATACTTACATTGTAAGCCATATAGGTCCACTTTGACACTTTCACTGGAACCCACAGAGATGTCACTAAGGTAAAGGAAATTAATTTGTTTAGCTTGTTTTTTTTTTTTTTTATATGAAATAATTTCTTTTATTAAATACTGGTGAAATATTTCTCAGTCATAAAAGGATTTGAGAAAGAAGTGGTTCCCTGAACAATGGCTATTTTAAATTAGAAAATCTAGTGAGATATTCTCTATATGCTCATTACCAACTAGCATCCACATCAAATAAAACATTTTAAATCTACTTGGTGTCTTTAACTCTAAGGAAGTATCAACAGAAGTCAACATTTCATTTTCCAAACAAGACAAGTAATTAAGTACAGTATGACAGGTATTATATATAAAAGCAAAATTTACCAGCTAAAGATATGCTTCTAATCAAAAGAAGATCTAAGAATGACTGATGCTGAGAAACTCAGTTAATAATAATATAGCACTTATTTTATGTGACTCAGGAGAATAGAGAACATTTAACTGTATCTTAAAATTTTTCTACTTGTTATGTTATTTTCAGGACAAATTTTTTTACCAGCAACATCTTACAAATTGCTTTCCTACTTTTTCCCTTCCTTAACCAAGAACCTCATAAGAAACCATCTTAGAGATATTAATAAGATATAACAGAATTACACTACCTGAAGTATCACAATTTCAAAGACTTTGTCTGCTAATAACAAATTTACCTAAAAATAATAATTAAAACTCTACTTAAAATTAAAACAGGTAAATACCACAAACCTGTTAAGTCAGAAATTATTGCTGGCTTTTCCTCAAAGTGTTTTGCTGGGTGTCTTATAAAGTGGTGATTCAAAACCGACAATTTCTTCTTGGGATTTTGAGTTATCTAGAAAGAACATTGATACATTCTGTATCCTTTCATATCCTTGTGATAATTCAATGAAACTTTGTTTCAAGTAATAATGATAAGAGCCAACAGTTACTTACTATTATTCTAAGGTATTATTCTAAGTGCTTAACATGTTACTAACTCATTTAATCATCATAAGAACTCATAAGAACTCTAGGAGATAATAATCTTTTTATCTGTATTTTAAACATGAAAAACTAAATCACAGAGAAATTAAGGACCAATATTCAAACACAGGCAGTCTGGCTCCAGAGCCCACGCTTTTAATCATCATGCAATAGTGCCTCTCAAACAACAGTTGAGAATATATAAACATATACAGAACCAGAAGAAGACTTAAGTGATCCTCCAGTCTAGTGATTCCTACACACTAGTTTCCAAAATCAGACCAGTGCTAATCTCACAACAAAGAAATTAAAACTGTGACTAGAGAAAATACAATTGTTCTCCCTTGGAAATAAATTCCTTTTTACTCTGTTCTACTTACTTCCCCTGCATCAAAATGTCATATCTTTCATGAAATGAAAATGCAAGCAGACAACAGGATTTTTCTGTTGTCTGTTTTAAAATATTCCAGGAGAATGTCTTGCCCTATTTAGAGCAAGTATCTGACTCCTTGTTGCTTTGGTATATAGGTTGGGGGACAGCCCTACAAAAAATTGAAGATTGTTATGTGCTTCATCCAAATAAAACATTTCTTCTATAGATTAAACAATTTCAAAAACATCAATTATTTTTCATAGAACTGTTCCAGATCCCTCTCCACTCTGCCTGTCTTCCTTCCCTGGATAAACTCAAGTTTGTTCATGTACCCTCACAAAACGTGATATACAAAACAGAATATAATTCTCTAGCTATTGTGTGACTAGAGTGGAAGAAAGTGGAATTTAGCATCACTGATGGAAATACTATACTTCAATAGATTCAGGCTAATACAAAATTAGTTTTGATTTTTTAAAAAGCAGCCACATGTGACTGCAATCAATTAAAAGCCATAGGTCTTTCAACCAAAATTTCAGTTAGGTCAGACTCTCCCATTTTTATTCACTCCCTAGAGAATCCATCCACTCACAAGTTTTCAGCTTTGATGTTTATGCTGATAACCGTCAAAAATCACACTCTAATTCTGAATCCTCAGTACATGTTTGGAAATGATTATGATTTGAGTTATAGATTCCCTGTATATATGCTTGCTTTTCCTTCTAGACTATATACTTCTTGAGCAGGAATCATATCCTAGCATTTTATTGTCTAACATTTAGTCCAGTCCATTATATATAGTGAGTTTGTGAAACAGAATTTGGTTTCATAATATTTTGATTCTTAGCAGTATTAGTTATCAAAAATTTCTCATTTGTCCCTTAAAATGTGTCTGTAAAATACTTATCCTTTCAGAATCATAACTTATTACTCACTAGTATTAGAGTTTTTTCATCTTAGGATTTAATGGAAAACAAGATTTATTAAAATTATTTTTATGTACAATTTTTTAAGAATATACCTGTTTGAGATACTCCTGTTCCTCACTGGTTGAAATGTTTTTTTCTCTAAACCTACCAAATGTCATTTCAGAAATAAACTGGTCTTGCCATTTTAATTGATTCTATTATTGTATCTAGTTGCATTCTCTCAGGCTAAAATTGTTTGCCATAGTTAAGAGATGAAAGAGTAATATGACATTGTATAAAGGACACTATGATTTCCAGGTGTCCTGCTAATTGAACAACTTATAAAATCATTAGTTTGGAGGGTTTATATGTGAAATCTCATTACAGAAAAGGTTCCACTTCTAGAAGTACATAATTTAAGTTCTGATGAGTTTGGGTTATTTATTTATTTATTTAAATATATCTTTATTGATTTCAGAGAGAGGAAAGAAGAGGGAGAGAGGGAGACAGAAACATCAATGATGAGAGAGTCACTGATCGAGCCCACAACCCAGGCATGTGCCCTGACTGGGAATCAAACCCCGATTGCCTGGATCCTAGGTCGACGCTCAACCGCTGAGCCATGCTCGGCCGGGTGAGTTTGGGTTATTTAATAAATGATAGATCATGAGATCTATAATATATTACTAAGAAAAAATGATAAAATATCTTATAATAAGTATTTCCCTTAATTAAATCAGGTTAAAAGAATATAAAAAACATTTTAAACAGTAAAGGGAAAGAACTGGGGGAAGATTTAAGGAATGTTTTCACTTTTTCATTTTCATTGCATTCCTTTTTAAAAAATTTTTATTGAATTTATTGGGATGACATTGGTTAATAAAATTATATAGGTTTCAGGTGTATAATTCTATAATACATCATCTATATATTGTATTGTTTGTTCACCCCCTAAAGTCAAGTCTCCTTCTATCATCATTTATCCCCCTCTTCACTCTTTTCTATCTCCCTCACCTCCCCTTTCCCTTCATTGCATTGTATTCATTATTAATAGTGGTCAAAATATTATCAGATAAAAATAAAGATATTTCCATTTTGAAAGTAATTATAGTCAACATAAGGTGTAGGCTTCTAGTTACATCAAAGTAAAAAATGTAGCAATTCCACCACTGCTGCAACAAAGCTCTTACTTTACTGAAATAATTTTAATTTAAAAATACATACTTGTTTAGTGTCAGCATCAATAAGATCAAAGAATGCTCGAATTGTAGTCAATTGCAATTGTTTACACCTAAAGAATAAAATGTGTCACAAGTGAAACTTTCTTTAAAAATATACTTTTGATACGAACACACACAATTCTATTATTTAATCAAAAATCTGAGTTTCCTTTAATGGTGTAAACTCTAAAATTATTTAGGAAATCATTATTATTAATCATATATCTTAAAGTTGAAACATATAAAAATAAAGCAAATTAAATCTTCCTGGATGTTTGACAGCTGAATTGTTGGGATCCCTCTATCTTCCCTAAATTTCCTCATCTCCCCCAACTACAGATGTACTCTACCCTATCTTTGTATGCCTGAACTGTGTGGTTCTTGCAGAGCCAAAGGAAGGTGAAAAAGAATCTTTAAACCAAAACACAGAGGGATAAGATCCTAGGGTCCATGTATTTCTTGACCCATATTTAGTCTATTTCTTTACTTATGTTAAGGGCAAATTTAATTCCGACTTGGCTTTCCATGTGCTACTCTAGAATAACCAATGCTACATCAATCAAGTCCCTGAGTCTGGTAGTTGACTGGTCAAGAGCTCAAAAGTCCCACAACAAGTGCCTTTGATTCTGCCCAACTTATGACAAACTAAAATTTCGATACTTGACACTAGCTTCATTTGAGACTGATGCTACTGGTTCTGAGATGATTTCATAGGTTGTCAAGGGAATCCTGGTTATACTGAGACAAGAACCAAGTTTAGAGTTCTAAGCCTCTAAATTAATCTGTCTCCCAAATCCTTATTCATGAATAAAGCTCTAAGAGTGTTAACAAACCAATCAATGCACTGATGAGAAAAGGGGACCACCACAAATCATCAAAATAAATTACGTTAACATACCACACAATGGAGAGGTGGTCTGTTGAGACCCAGGTCTTAGGCACTGCTGAACTCTAAAAGGAAAGAAACAAAAGTCAAACTTAAGAAAAGTGCATGCTATTCTCCAAAAGGCTTGAAATTCTTATAAGCTAATATTTAGGAACATGTAGCATTAGTTTCACTCTTTTATGATGCATTGACTTTGTAAAATGATGAATTCTTATAAAAGGTGATCCAAAATATTAAGACATTTCCTGCATAAAATAATTCTGTCATTACTGCTTAGTCACACTTATATTACCCTTTAAAAATTATTAAAGCATCCAGGTTACTTCCTGAGTTTAATGACTATTACTTTAACAAGAGGCTGAGTTTATAATTCTTTAATAAATCATAGGTTATGGATAAATTACAAGAGATATTTTAGTAATTTTAGTTCTGACTAGATTACCACTTGATAAATTGTAAGATGTTACTTCTTAATCAGGGTGTGCCTGAGAAATACCTAAGCCTGGAGAGATTTTCCAAAAGACATATGCCTGATCACGGTTCCCAAGCAATCAAATCAGACTCTTACAAGTGGGGTCCAGGCTTATTTATTTTGCAAAAATTCACTAGATGACTGGTATATATACTACTGGTTAGAGACACAAAGACAAAGGCTCTTAAAATTGTAACTATTTGCAGAAGGCTTCCTAACAATGACATAACATCCTTCAGTCAGGTTGTAAAGTGGGAGGAACCTATAGCTTACCTTTTGAATTTATAAACAAATACCTTATTTAGGAATTACTCCTGGCAGCTTACTGAAAAAGTAAAGACAAGCAGAGTTCACTGTGGTTCTAAGATTATATCAGATGCTCAGTAGAGTAAGAACTCACAGTAGATAGCACTTACCATTACCAAGAACATAGAACAGTTTACTTTCATTCAGGCTAATAAACGCATCAGTGCTAGAGTTGAAAAAGGGAAAGGCAACACAAATAATGAAGGTAGTTGTTCATGATCTTTGGTGAAAACTTCTGAATGTCTACCAAAATCCATTCTTGCCTTCTTGCACAGTTGGCTAGACTGTATCTCTTGGCCTCTCTTACTTTAAGATGTGACTAATTTTTCTCTAATAGTATGTGAACAGGAGTGATGTATGCCATTTTCAGACCTGGCTGCTCCTCTTCCCCCTTCCCATGGGTTGAAATGGTGATGATTAGAGCCACCTCAAAAGTAAAACATTCAAGAAGAGGGTGCCTACTGTCAGCATAGGTCCCTTATGAGACTGATGCTATTGGTTCTGAAAACCACCCACCAACTTCAATACACAACCACGGCAATTATATGAGTAAAATGTAAACCTCTATTATGTTTAAGTGCTTTACTTGCATGAGTCTATATAACAACAGTTTAGCCTCCCTACTAATACAGCTGTGCTATCTCTAACTTAAGCAATTTTTCTAGTCCCAATGGATGTAAATGTCATTTAACTGTTCTTGAGATAATCATTAAAAAAATGTTAGTTCTTAATAATAGTTTTCTTTAAAGTGAGCATACTTTAAAATATGAAAGACCCTAGACTATTTGGGGGCTAAAAAACTAAATAAAACTCAGATTATAAAATAATCAGCTTTGAGAAAATTTCATAAGAGGTAGAATATTTTCATCGGTTACAGAAATACAAGCTGCCTTACACACACATGGTTGAAAAGACAAAAGTTCTTTAAAAAATAAGCTGCAGGATATGGTATCAATACAGCATCATGCTCCAGACCAAGTCTAGGAAATAAGTTATATCATATGACTAAATAAAACATCTGTGTTTTAGAGTTGACATTTAATGTTTTGAGGACTTCCAGCAAGTATCTGCCTAAAACATTCAACGCCAAATAAGATTCATACCGACAATGAGGTTTGAGAGATTTACCAATTTTGTTCCTAAGCTACTATGGCTATACCACAACTCCAGTTATAAGAAAATGGTGGGTAATAGCAGATTAGTTTAATAATTCTTGTTCTATGTATGGCAGGCATTCAGTAAATACCTACTTAATGAATGAACAGCAATCTAAGGTGGGGCAACAGATGAGCTGAGCAAAGGAGTATCTATGAAGGGCAACCATGAAATAAAGCATTAGCTCCTAAAAAACAAAAGGAACTATGGATTTTTTAAGAAATTAAGTTACATTTGAAGATGATGTGAATATTGAGCTTATAAAGTTAAGATCTTAACTGAAGACTTCAAGGTTAAAAATGCAAGAAATAATATAAGTCCAAAAAGGAAACTTGAACTCATTTTACAGGGTCTATGTATCCAGTTAAAGACCAAATATTTGATGTCATTGCAGGGAAGAATAATTAGCAAATTAATTAATCAGGGTTCTGTTTATACTATCAAAGCTAATTTTTTAATTTTAGAATTGGTAAAACCTCATTCAAGTTTAGCAATCAAAAATGGTGTGTTTGCTATTTCACTACTATTGTATACAGCATAGCACTCAGATGTAACAAGAGGCCCTCGGACTTCAGTCCACACTTTCTTATACTTACAATTCTAATCAATGGACAGGCACTTATTTTGAATAAGAAACAATTATTTCTCATAAATAAGAGTTATTTTCACAAAGTCTTTAAGATCCTTTTAACCTTCTATGGACATAGGCATCCATGCCTCTGCCTTCCCAATATAGCATATTCATTCATTCATATTCTGTCTTTCTCTACCTCTTTCTCTCTCTCTCTCTCTCTCTCTCACACACACACACACACACGTGCGCGCACAAGCACAATACTACACTCAGCAGTCATTTCCAAGCACCTACATATTACTTCTCCTTTCACGCCCCACTGTGTTCATCATGTTACTACTTCAGTAAATTCTTTAAAAAAGATTACCACAACAGATAAGGCACTGGTATGATGGCTTAGTTTTGGCAGAAAAGTCAGTCCTGAACGAACTTGGTAATCCCGGAATCCTCCAGCTACAGAAAGCATGGTTAAATTTATGTGTCTAGCATTCAAAATCCAATAGTTGTTCACGGTCATATAAAAATCTGGTAGAAAATAAAAAAGACACATTAAAAATTAGTGGTCATTCCCTGCAACAATAAGCTATCTATAATATTAATATTAAACTGAATTTCTAATCCATCTAAATTATCTATGAACAATGTTATTCACATTTTTCTATTTTAAAACAGTATCTTTACACAAATTCTGCTTTTCCCATTAAATAAGGTAACAGGTACTAAGAGTTACTAATGGTATCAATAATGAAAAAAGATACCCAAATATTTTAGCTTGACAAATTGATATACAAATAAGTCCCTACATTCCACAAGGATACTACTTGTTCATGAGCCACACAATATAGCAAGAAGAAATAAACCTAAAATTCTTCTAAAGATAAGAGTTTACTATGCTAAAGAGTTGCAGATCTTCCTAATCAGGCAGTGTCCCTGTTTATACTCTCACCTGAAGCCAACCACCACCTCACAAAGTACTACGTAAATTCTTAAAATAAAATCTATCAGGACAATGACATTCACATTAGTCTTAGAACTATGCAGCTATGGAAAAATCTGAGGATTAAGGTTCTATCCCTTTAGTGCAATAAGCAGTTCAAAGGGAAGAACTTGCAGACAATTTTTCCACTTTTCTTACGAACAGTGAGAAAATTTTAGTATCAAAATTTGAGGTCAGAGCAGGGGAGTTCTCATTGCCTCTTCTGATGATCAAAACGTAATGCATTTTTATACTGGTATTTGACCCCATTGAGGGCTTCAAGTATTTTGGAACAGAATACAGCTCCCATCAAAGATCTCAGCAATATTTACTTGGGTTAAAGTGCAGAGCCCAATGCAGGGCTTCCTTCCTCTAGCTGGGGGCAGTATTTCCACCAATTATACACAGAATCTACTTCTAGAGGTCATATGAGTCTCCTAAAAACCTAAAATGTACCACCCCTTGAATTTTTGTGTTTACATTCCAATTCTGTCTTAATGCAATAAAAAATAAATATAGAATAAGTGGGAAAGGAGCCTGCTCATCACAGTAAAAACACCTTGATCCTAAGAATCAGTTTCAGCCTGAGCTTTTTAGAGACAGACCATCACAATCCTCCAAAACGATAAAACCCTGACTCTCTTGAAAGTTTTCTTCAAACAACTTTTTAAATGTGCTTTGAGTAATTCCAATTTAACCTACATGGCTCCTCTACATATAAAATGCAGTAAGAGAAACAGTTCCCAATTACGTTGACAAATATTATAGCTTGTCTATGCCTTTGATTTTTTTTTCTAAACCTATAGGTCATTTATAATTACTAGGATTAGAAAAACAGATTTAAACAACTTCAATAATAAAACTAATTTTTTTTATTAAAAGATTTCTATAAGAAAAGTGTTAAATGTAATGAGAAGAATTAAACTTTGCTGTTAAATACTGTTATATCAGATATTTCAGGAAATAAGTTACTCCTTGGCAATGTTATCTTAAGATAGGTGCTTTGGACAACTATTACTTTCTTTTGGAGTCACCAGTGTATACTTCTCACTTAACTATTTACAAAAGTTTCATCACAGTTAAGATAATGCAAATTTTGATACGGTAAGAAGTTGAATAAATTTACTAATCAGAAAAATTAATGATTTCTTTTGAAAGATTTTTTTCTATTCATATAACATTGTAATAAGCAGTGAAGATATTTGACTTTAATAAAAAATTGAGATAGGCATTTAATTTTTATCACATGACATTACCACTATTTGATTGCATGACAGCAATTATAAACTCCTGCTGTTCATTTAAAATTCCCTGCATATACAGCATTATCCATAATATTATTTCTTTTACTGTAGCAATATATCTCAATTAAGAAGCAGTATAGCATGCAAAAGTTAAGAGCACAGGCCCAGGAACAACTTTACAAGGGTCAAATGCTAGCTTCACTATTTTCTTGCCATGTAACTTTGGGCAAAAGCTTTGTATTGAACTTTTTTTTTCTATACATAGTCATGGGGACAGCAGTGACACCTACCTCAAAGGACTACTACAAGGAATATGTGACATAGTAATACATCATGTAAAGTCCTTAACACAATACCCAAAACATAGTAAGAGCTCAATAAATATCAGCAATTCTACCTTACCACATAAAGTGTTAGCAGACCTATTTATTTTAAAAAAAGATATTTCTTTTTTGCAATGGGTTTGCCACCAGAACACAGGCGTCTTGAAAATCACCACTAAATCAAACCCAAAATGGAAAAGGAAAAGACTCATATCAACATCATCATCATTGGACACGTAGATTCTAGCAAGACTACCACTACTGGCCATGTGATCTACAAATGTGGTGGGAGAGACAAAAGAACCATCAAAAAATTTGAGGTGGCAGCTGAGATGGGGAAGGGCTCCTTCAAGTATGCCTGGGTCTTGGATACACTAAAAGCTGAACATGAGCATGATATCACCCTTGATATCTCCCTGTGGAAATTCGAGACCGGCAAGTATTATGTGACCATCAGTGATGCCCCGGGACACAGACACTTCATCAAAAACACGATTACAGGCACATCTCAGGCTGACTGTGCTGTCCTGATTGTTGCTGTTGGTGAATTTGAAGCAGGTATCTCCAAGAATGGGCAGACCTGTGAACATGCCCTTCTGGCTTGAAACTGGGCGTGAAACTGATTGTTGGTGTTAACAAAATGGATTTCACTGAGCCACCCTACAGCCAGAAGAGATATGAGGAAATTGTTAAAGAAGTCAGTACCTACATTAAGAAAATTGGCTACAACCCTGACAGAGTAGCATTTGTGCCAATTTCTGGTTGGAATGATGACAACATGCTGGAGCCAAGTGCTAATATGCCTTGGTTCAAGGGATGAAAAGTCACCCGTAAAGATGGCAATGCCAGTGGAACCACACTGCTTGAAGCTCTGGATTGCATCTTACCACCAACTCATCCAACTGACAAGCCCCTGCGTCTGCCCCTCCAGGATGTCTACAAAATTGTTGGTATTGGTACTGTCCCTGTGGGCCGAGTGGAGGCTGGTGTACTCAAGCCCAGCATGGTGGTCACCTTTGCTCCAGTCAATGTTACAACTGAAGTAAAGTCTGTTGAAATGCACCATGAAGCTTTGAGTGAAGCTCTTCCTGGGGACAATGTGGGCTTCAATGTCAAGAATGTGTCTGTCAAAGATGTTCATCATGGCAATGTGGCTGGTCACAGCAAAAATGACCCACTAATGGAAGCAGCTGGCTTCACAGGTGATTATCCTGAACCATCCAGGCCAAATCAATGCTGGGTACGCACCTGTGCTGGATTGTCACACAGCTCACAGTGCTTGCAAATTTGCTAAGCTGAAGGAGAAGTTTGATCATTGTTCTGGGAAAAAGCTGGAAGATGGCCCTAAGTTTTTGAAATCTGGTGATGCTGCCACTGTCGATATGATGCCCGGCAAGCCCATGTGTGTTGAGAGCTTCTCTGACTACCCTCCTCTGGGCCGTTTTGCTGTTCGTGACATGAGACAGATAGTTGCTGTTGGTGTCATCAAAGCAGTGGACAAGAGGGTAGCTGGAGCTGGCATAGTCACCAAGTCTGCCCAGAAAGCTCAGAAGGCTAAATGAATATTATCCCCAATACTTGCCATTCCAGTCTTAACCAGTGGTGGAAGAATGGTCTCAGAACTGTTTGTCTCAATTGGCCATTTAAATTTAATAGTAAAAGACTGGTTAATGATTACAATGCATTGTAAAACCTTCAGAAGGAAAGGAGAATGTTTTGTAGACCATTTGTTTTTTTTGTGTGTGTGTGGCAGTTTTTAAGTTATTAGTTTTTAAAATCAGTACTTTTTAATGGAAACAACTTGACCAAAAATCTGTCACAGAATTTTGAGACCCATTAAAACAAAGTTTAATGAGAAAAACAAAACAACAAAAAAATAAGACGTTTCTACTATTTTACTTAAAAATAAGCTTATTTCAAAAAGAGTCCTGGAAAATTAACCAAACATAGGAAATTTAAACATACTTTTAAGAGCAAGGGAGTCATACTTAAGAATAACTAAACTGAAGCCTAAGTGTCTAGAGATTACAAGACATATGACATCCATGTTACGGTGCTATAGACAGAGAAAACTAACTCAGTTTCAATTATGAGCCTAAGTTGAAAGTTACAGAGAGAAAAAGAGAAGTGGAGGTGATTTGACACTGAGCTGGCTTCACACATGGATGAATCTGTGGCACACTCTAAAGGGAGTAGCAGCAAGGATTAATTTTATTCTAAACAACAATGGGGAAGTCAGTCAGTGTTTACGTAACAGTACTCACCTGTAATAAAACGATCTAAAGGCATCACAGGAGCAACATGAGGGGTGGCTTGTGTAATAAGAAGATTTATCAGGTCTTGTTTAAAATTTTTCAGTGTAAGCAATGCCCTTGCAACAAGGCCACCCATAGAATGACCAATTATTGCCACACTTTTTGGAGCAAATTCTTGACCCTATTAAAAAAAAATCACCAAGGCATAATTAACAGTATCAAAATAACAATACTAAATACTTCTCTCTAAAAACAAGCAACTTTATACAAAAAATTTAAACTATTTATCCAACCTCCTATCATAAGATACAGAAACACATATTCATATACTTGTAATTAGTGTACATACATACAATTTTGTGTTCTGCCAAACATTTTTAATAGCTCTTTGAATTTCTGAACCAAAATCAGAAAACTTGGGTCTAGCGAATCATGTTTTACCACTTGTTATAGTGCATGTTAGAGGTGTAATTATATTTGGTGTATAGCAGAATATTAGATTTTATAGGGTCATTTATTCAAAATTGGAAATACCACAAAAAAGCCAGAAAAATTATAGTTGCCTTAGTAACATAATACCTCATCATATTGATATATCTTATCAAATTATTTTCCTATTATGCACCTGTATTTAAAAATAAACCAAAATTCCGTAACATTTATTCACTGACAATTACATATTTTATTCCTTAAATAAGTACTGCATTTAAAAAAAATCTTTCCTGTCTCCACAGTATCCTCAGTTCCACTACCAAGCCTTTGCTCATCATCTTCCATTATAATCCTTTATTTAAGCTTTCTCTCCTGTTACTTTGAATAAATTGGACCTTGTGCAGAAAACAGTTAACCCAGTAGGCCTGAAACTGTTATCCTTAGAATGGACTGCATTAAGGCTGGCTCTGCTCTGCAATCTGGGACCTTAGATTTTGGGAGGGTTCCCATCATTCCCTAAATGATAACAATGGCTCACTATGCTAAAACTGTGCAAACAATATCCTTTATGCTGATCACTAGTGTCCTTTCTGTTGGAATTTTGTTATGTGGTAGGCACAGGGTGTCTATATAACCAGCCCCCAATAAAAATCTTGGGCACTGAATCTCTAATGAGTTGCTCTCATAGACAACACTTCATACATGTCACAATTTGTTGCTGTAGGAATTAAATGCATCTGGTGTGACTCCACTGCAAGAAGACTTTTGAAAACTTGCACCTGCATTTCCTCCAGACTTCACCCCATGTACCTTCTCTCTTTGCCAATTTTGCTTTGTATCCTTTCACTGTAATAAATCATAACATGAATACAACTAACTATATGCTGGGTCCCGTGAGTCCTCCTGGAGAATTACAGAGCCTGGAGATGGTCTTGGTGATCCCCAGAACAGACGTGATCGCAGCAGAAGTCAAACCTTACACATGTGCTCGGAAAGCCATCCCCTTTTGCCTTCTCAAGGACATTACTCCAGCAAATTCTTCTCACTTTCTTCTCATATCACTGTTTTTCCCTTTCTATTTAACCATTCTCGCTAGTATATATATTGTTATTTTCCCTTAAAAAACAAAGACAATTCTCTATCTACTCCCACTTTCACTTTAGTGACCACATCTTTCCCTACATATTCTCACAGCAAAACTCTTCAAAAACAGTTATTTGTGCAGCACTTGCTGTCTCCAATTTCTCAACTTCCATATACTCTTAAACCCATTTCAACCAGGCTTCCACCTCAACAGTCCTCCAAAACTGCTCTTATCAAGTCACCAAAGAATCTAACGGCCAATTTTTGAATCCTCGTCTTACTAGACCTCTCAGTAGTAATTTATACAGTTATCCCTTCTTCCTCTTTAAATGCCTCGTTGTATATTGTTTTCTTGACAATATACTCTCTTGTTTCTTCTACTCCCTTAGCTGTTCCTTTCTAGTCTCTTGCTCGTTCTTTCTCATCTCCCCTCATCTCTTAGTTATGTCCAGACTGGAAGTCTTCTCTTGAACTCTTAACTTTGAACTCCAATGGCATATTGAGCATGCAACTCAATCTGTCTAAAATTAAACTTTTAATCTCCTTCAATTCTGCTCCTCCTCCATTTCCCTCCACTTCAGTTAATGGCATTTCAACCCTTCTAGCTGTTTAGCCAAAAAATGTGGGGTCATTCTTAATTCTTCTTTTTCTCTCACATTGTCCCTCCATATCTGATCTGCCATCAAACCTTGTTGCCTCAACCTTTAAGATTTACACCAATCTGATCATTTATCACTTCCACTGCTACCAACTTGATCCAAATTATCATTACTTCTTGCCGGAATCACTACAATAGCCTCCTAACTGGTCTCTCTGCTTTGCCCTTACATCCCTTCAGTTTATCCTCAGAAGCATCCAAAATGATACTATTGAAGCCTAAATCAGAACATGTCGCTCTTCTGCTCAAAAACCTCTACAGCTGCTTTCCATATCATTTCAAATAAAAGGCAAAATTCTTAAAATTGTCTACAGGGCTCTATAATCTGCCTTCTCCCCAACTTCTCTTTCTACTCTATCTACTCCAGCCATACCAGTCTCCTTGTTTTTCTTCAAATACAGCACACGTGTGCTTGCTTCATATATTTGTTTCCTCTGCTTAGAGTACTCTTTTCCTAGATATGCAAACGAGCTATTCTCTCATGTTCTTAATTTGTATTACATTGTCTGTTCCTCAACAGAGGTCTTTGCTGGGCTATCCTCAACTCCCTATCTCCGCTTCCTGTTTTATTTTTCTTCCTGGCATTTATGGTATGGATTTTTCTTATTTCTGATGTTTCCTATCTGCTTCTCCCCACTAGAACATAAAGGCCATGAGGGCCTGCATTTGTTTTATTCATTGCTGTATTTCCATGCAGACTCCCAAGGTTTTCTCCATCTAAAATGTCCTCTCACTTTCCCACACCCAAATCCTATCCATTCAACAAGATTCAGTCATCTCTCTCTACACCCCTATTATATTTACTTGTTATAGAAATCTTACTAAAAGCTTCAACTTAAAAAGTTTATTAGTTCTATTATAAATTTAATATGTAGTCATTAGAGAAAATCTGAAAACAAAATATAGGAAAAGTACCTAATATATAACATTAAACACATGATTGTTTATTGTGAACATTTATGGAAATCTCACTTTGTAATCATGACTTATTTATCTATCCAATAAATATCAGATATGTAAAATATTCCGTACTTAATATGGCTTGTTTTCTTCTATAATACTCAGTGTAGATTTAAGTAAAAAAACGCCTGCTGTAGAAATAATTTTAAAATGCTGGCTTATGCAAAAAATCATGATGTCTACATTTCATTTTCTAGATGCAAAGAAATACCACACCAGCTGGATTACAATGGCTTCATAGTTAAGTCTTGAAACAGGTAGTGCAGGTCAGTCCCCCAACTTATGTTCTTTTTTTTCAAGGCTGTTTGGCTTTTAAGGTTCTTTGCAGTTCCACGTAAGCTTGTCAAGTTCACAAAAACACATGCTGGTGTTTTGATTTGTACTGTATTATATCTATTGGTCAATTTGGGGAGAATTTACATCTTCATTGTGAGTCTTCTAACCCATGAAGTTGGTCTGTCCATTTACTTCAGATTTCTTTCATTTCTCTCAGATGTGAAGTTTTCAGTGTACATATCTTGCAAATTTTACATTAAGTTTATCCATAAGAGTTGTATTTTTACATTACTATAAATGTATTTTAAAATTTTGCTTTCCATTTGTTCACTGATTTTTTTAATATTGACCATTTATTCTGTAACCTTGCTAAATTCACTTATGAATTCTAATAATTTTCTATAAATTCCTTTAAATGTTCCTGTATATTTATGTCATCTGTGAATATAGAGTTTTAATTCATCTTTTAATTTTTAATTCTGTTTCTTTTTCTGGCCTTATCACACTAGATAGGACCTCTGTGCAATATTGAATAGAGGTGGTGGGAGCAGACAGAAGCTGAAAAATGAAAGACATTTGATTACTTACTGTGAATAACATTTATAAAAATAAATCTCACTTTGTGATTGCCTCTTATTTATCTTTTTCAATAAATATTTTATCAAATACATAATGGTCCTTAACCTAACATGACTTGTTTCCTCCCGTAATACTATATGTAATACAATTCCTAGGGGTGAGAAAGTTTGCTTCTATTCCTACTGTGCTGAACTTTGTGTTATTTTGTTTTTTTAATCATGAACGGGTGCTGAATGCAGTCAAATGCATTTTCATCTACTGTAATGAGCTTATGATGAATTACACTGATTAATGCTTGAATATTAAAGCAACTTTGCATTCTTGGGAAAAATCCTACTTTGTCATGATGTCTTAAACTTTAAAATATTTCTGAATTTGACAGGCTAATTTTCTGCTAAGGATTTAAAAAATTTTTTTTTTTAGAGAGAGAGGAAGGGAAAGGGAGAGAAATAGACACATTAATGCCTCCTGCCCTCCCCATACCAGGGATCGAGCCTGCAACCTGGGCATGTGCCCTGATTGGGAATTGAACCAGCAACCTTTCAGTGCACAGGATGACACCCAACTAACTGAGCCACACCGGCCAGGGCTCTGTTGAGGATTTTATATCTATGTTCATGAAGGATACTAGGTCCTTATTTTCAAAGAATGTCATTGTCTAATTTTGATAGTCAGGATTTGCTTGTTTCTTAAAATGAACTGCTAAGTGTTATCTCTTCCTCTATTTTCTAAAAGAGTTTGTATAAAATGGGTATTATTTCTTCCTTAAATGTTTGATAAAATTCACCACTGTAGTCATCTGGCCCTAGATTTTTCTTGGAAGTAAGGTTTTTAATTACAAATTCAAAAAATTTTAAACAGATAGAGGGCTAGCCAGATTCTGTTTCTTCTTGTGTCTGTTTTGTAATTTATGTTTCAAGGGATTTGTGCATTTATCTGAGTTGTCAAATTTATTGGTATAAAGTTGTTCATAATATTCCCTTAATATCTTCTTAATATCTGTAGGCTCTCTATTGATGTCCCCTTTTCATTCCTGATATTAATTTGTGTTCCTCTTCTTTTTTAAAATTAGTCCAGCTATGAGTTTATCAATTTTATAGATATTTTTTTAAAAACAGCCATTGGTATCTATTTTTTCTTTAGTTTGTTTCCTATTTCACTGATTTCAATGCTCATCTGTATTGTTTCCTTAGAATTCTAGAGTGCACTTTATTCTTCTTTTTCTAGCTTCTAAAGTTGAAAGGTTAGATAATTGCTTTTAAACCTTGTTCCTATCCAACATAAGCACTTAAGACTAGTTATTTCTTCTAACCACTACTTTAATCCTACAAATTCCGGTGTGCTGTTTTCACTTTAATTCAGTTCAAAACATTTTCAAATTTCACCTGTAATTTTATGTTTGACCTCTGAGTTAGCTAGAAGGAATTTCCAAATATTTGAGGATTTTCCAGATATCTTGTTGTTGGTGGCTTCTAATTTCATTTTGCTATGATCAGAAAATAAACCCTGTATAATTTCAATCCTTTGAAATTTATAGAGACTTGTTTTATGGCCTAGCATATGGCATATGTTAGTTCCATGTACACTTAAAGAGAACATAGTTTCTACACTTTTTAGATGTAGTGTTCTATAAACCAGTGAAGCTGGGGAATAGTGTTCAAATCTTCCATACCTTACTGATTTTCTGTTTTTTTCTTTTATCAAGTATTTTTTAAATTTATTGATTTTAGAGAGAGTGAGAGAAATATAGATTTGTTGTGCCATTTATTTATGTATTCATTGGTTGCTTCTTCTATGTGCCCTGACCAGGGAACAACCCCAAAACCTTGGAGTATCAGGATAATGCTCCAATCAACTGAGCTACCTGGCCAGGGCTATTTTATCAATTATTGAGAGGATTGTTGAAATCTCCAACTCTGTGGATTTACCTATTGTTTTTACTTTAGTTCATTTTGCATAGTTTTTATTGCCCTTTCTTCAAATTCAATGATCTATTCTTTGTAGTGTTCAATTTGCTCAAAGCTTATCTTGTGAATTTTTCATTTCTGATATGTACAAGGCAGGGGAAAAAACAGATTTACAGTTGTTCTTACGGAAAATAATACAACAGTTATTAAGTAATAATACAAAAATAAACTCTGTGTTTCACATACAACTGTAAACCTACTTTTGCCCCACCCTTTATGGTTTCAGTTTGTAGATTTTTTTTTTTTAAATAGTTTCCATGTCTCTGCTGAGATTCTCCATCTTTTCCCTTGTTATCTGCATCTTTTCTTTAAATCCTTAACTGATATTTTTTGAGGCTTGTATTTAAGCATTGTTAAGGTGGACACTGGAGTAGCTTTTACTTTAGGGCTGGAGTAGTCCTTAATTATGTCCTTTCTGGGGTATCATTTGAATGCCCAACGTGTTCAAATAGGTCTTTCCGCTCTAGCAGGTCAGAACTATTTCCCAGCACTATGTGGCCTCTGAAATCTCAACTCTGCTCACAATTTCCTAGTAGCTGTTTCCTGCTAGGACTTGCACTGTGGCATACCAAGGGAAGAAGTGTCTCACCCAAGTAGCTAATAGTATTTTATCTCTGATACTATTTAGAACTGCTGGCACAGAATGATATTTATTCTGTTTTACTGCTCTTTTAAACTGCACCTTAGGTGGACATACCCTATCACTTCCTCCCTGGTATGCCATTGCCTTGTACTTCTTGACCTGTGTATATACAGCATAGCATTCAAAGACTGAAAAATGAAAATTTGTAGAGCTCCTATCTCTGCCTTGTTTTTTTCTTTCGCACAGCACACCCTGATCAGTAATCTAGCCAACTTCAGTAGCCCCAAATTCCAGTCTCTGCCTTCTTCGGCTCAGTGATACAATGTGCTCTGCTTGATCTCCACCTACCTGCCCCATGGCCTAGAAAATGCTTCTAGGCAGAAAGCCAGAGCAATTATGGAACTCATTTCATGTATTATCTTTCTTTCAGAAATACAGACCTTGGTTGATGCCCAACAATTGAAGACATGTACTTCAGGTATCTTAACTAGTGTTATAGTTGTTTACAGAAGAGTAAACAACTATACAGTCATAACTAGAAACAGAAATTCAAACTAATGGTTTTTAGAAAATACATTGCATTCCTAATTTATAAGTTAAAAGATGCCCCCCAAATTCACCACAAGAAAGATTTCCTGTAAATTCAATTTAAACTTCAAAAACCACCACTGAGTTCAAAACAGACTCCCACACACAAAAGAAGAAAAAAAACCTTTCTGCCATCTTTGCTTCAACTTCCATATAAACAAATGACTTAAATTATGCTAGTTCCTTTGAAAAAGAAAGATGCTAGTAGGTTGATCACTACTGATTTGCAAGCTTATCTCTTACCTTATAGAGTTTGAGGATTGTTTTAATGCATTCATGTACAAACTTGGTCTGCTTCTGAAGACTTCCACCATATAGTGCCACCAGTTCTTCATTGAAATTCACACTAAAGAAGTCAAAGTGGTACTTGAAGTCAATGTCTTCTGCTTTTCTCAGTGCAATAGAGCCAATAGAACGAACTGCAAAGGAAAAGGGTAAAGTGCATATTAAGCAAAATTTTTTATTTTTATTTATTTATTTATTTTTTAAATATATCTTTATTGATTTCAGAGAGAGGAAAGGAGAGGGAGAGAGAGAGAGAGAAACATCACTGATCAGCTGTCTAGCCCGCAACCTAGGCATGTGCCCTGACCGGGAATCGAACCCTGATCGCCTGGATCCTAGGTCAACGCTCAACCGCTGAGCCATGCCCGGCCGGGCAAGCAAAATTTTTTGGTTTCATACATTCTTGTCTCTTAACAAATGACTTTATCCCATATCATGAATATAAAAAATGATTTCGAGACATCCTTTAATAGTATCAATTTAGAAGAACAAACTAACCTAGAGGGTGTATGCCTTGTGTCCTAAAGATTTTTTTTAATTAAATAAAAGGTGAACAGGTCAGTTCCAGACCCAGTACAGGGATTTGGGGGCAGCTTCAGACAATAGATGCTTCGAGGGGTATACCTTGTGTGAGTTGTGTGTACTTTCTTGTTGTAGTTGAGCCCTGATTACTGCTGTCACATCTGTGTTTGGGGCTGACCCTCCAGCTGACTGGCTGTGAGGACTGGTCATGACTATAGCGAACAAGCTATTGTTTGGGGGCTGAGGAATTTGCTTTAGTGGGGCTCTGGTGCCTGTCAAACCTACCCTGTGGGCATGTCATTGTGGAACTGATTGAGTAGTGCTTTGGTGTGGTAGGAAGCTAGCCACCAGGTGTGTTCTGAGGCCTCTGGAGAGGGGCAGGCGAAGGTCAGCTGCTGCCTGTGTCTGGCCCGGGGCCACCTGGTAGGAGTAATCTGAGGTTGGTAGCTGCCTGTGCTAGGCTTGAAGGTGCCTGGGAGTGGTTATGCTGTGAACCAAGGCTAGCTGCCACTAGTGGAGTACTTGGGACTACTTAGCAAAAGTTACAGGGCACGCTAAAGCCAGCTTCTGGTTTGAGGCTTGTGGACCAAACATTGATGTGAGAAAGACACATTGATTGGTTGCTTCCTGCATGCACCCCAACCAGGCCGGGAACGAACGTGAAACCCAGGAACGTGCTCCTGACCAGAAATTGAACCCAAGACTCTTTGGTCCCTAGGCCAATGCTCTACCCACTGACTCACTCCAGCCATGTCTCCCTCCCAATTCTTAACTGCCACATGTGAGTATGGGACCAGTCCATTTTGAATCTCTGTCCCTCTACCACTCTAAATGTGGCTTCTTCTTTATATCCTTAGATACAGGAGTTCTGTTCAGCCAGTCTTCAGGTGGTTCTCAAGGGCTGTTGTTCTATAATTTAGTTGTAATTCTGATGTGGTCATGAGAGGAGGCCAGCACAGCATTTACTACTCTGTCATCTTGACCAGAAATTTAAATCTCTCTAACTTAAATAGCTTTGAAAGAAAGAAACCAATCTCTTCTCTTGGTCAGCATAACAGAAACCACGATTTATTTCTCTAATCAACACTTCAGGTTCTGTGCTCTGCACCCACCATTTCCAATATAAGCCTCTTTCTTCTGCTGATTCCTGAATCCCTGTATCACCTATTTATGCCATCCCGCTCTATCTTCTTTTCCTCCTTATTTTTGGCAAAGTGGTCTTCAACATTCTTTTTTTTTAATTTCTTTTTTCTTACTCCTTACCCAAGGATATTTTTTCCATTGCTTTTCAGAGAGAGTGGGAAGGAAGAGAAAGAGAGAAAGAGAACCATCAATGTGAGAGAGAGACGTCAATTGCTTGCCTCCCACATGTGCCCCAACTAGGGCCTGGAATCGAGCCTGCAACCCAGGTATGTGCCCTTGGCCTGAATGGAACCCGGGACCCTTCAAGTCCATGGGCTGACACTCTAACCACCACACCAAACCCACCAGGGCAACATTCTTTTCTATGTATTTCTCACACATATTTTCCTAGACAAAATGCTATATATTTGTGTTTCCAGTATGCCTAACATGGTACTTAACATAGAGTATGTATCTGTTAAACTCTTGAATTGCATTTTATAGCTTTCAAAATTTACTTCTGAGACTTACCTTGTTTATAACTTCCAGCATTACCAGGAAGAAAGAGAACTGGAATACCAGTTAAAGGGAGAATTTTGTCTTCTTCAGCATAGGATCCTTCTCCATAAAGATACAATTCATACGCAGGATAGCGTTTTGCCAGCTTCTTTGGAAGTTCTATTTTCTACAGCAAAAAAAATAAATAAAATGAAAAATGCAATTTTACTCAAATCAACTTTATTAATACAATTTAGCCACAACATACCCAGTTCTGAATTATACAAATAGTGCAATGTAAAAATATTGCTGATGATAAAACTGCACTTAATGCACATAACAAGTTCAAGTTCTACTTTTAGTTTATTTGTATGGAGAATTAGTCTTGAATTATGTGAGTTTTGAACCATGCAGTCTTCGGGAAATCATAAAATAGGACTACCTGAAATTCTAATAAATATAAATTACTCAAAATAGACAGTGAACAGAAAAACACTGGTAGATGTCAGCAAGTTACATGTTCACGTAACTGGAAATGCATTTAATTTAGTATCAGTATCAATTATACTTAGAAAGGATAAAAGCTTTCCATTATCAAATCAATTTTTTTTGCTATTTTAAAATGTTTTGTAATGTCTCTCCTTTTACTCAGGCCCCACTACTTATTCTAGCTGTGACATCATTCAACAGAAAGCAAGTTTGTTTTATAATGCAGTTTTCTGACCTCCCAACTTAATATGCTTTGACCTACAATGTGCTTAACAAATTAATCTGAACCGTATAGCCATGTCTCGGTCAAGACATGTACACTCTTCCTACCATAAACATTCCAATGGATTAGCATCTGTTTCAGTTTTCACAAACCAGGTGCATGGTTCATCAGCAAGCCCTAAACTACATTGCAATTCATATTATATAAATTTTTTTTCAACAAAATATAAATTAGGTCTTAATGTCATCCCAAAGACATAGGTATCTATAAAAGTGGTAGTAAAGTATAAACTCTTCTGCTCATTTTTTCAATGAAAGAAACCATTAAAAATGAAACCAGTCACTTTGAACAGATTTTATTTGATATCAATAGATTTAATGATCTAGCAGTGCTACACATATGCTTGGTAAAAATTTCAACTACTGAATGAATTTTTTTAACTGTAAATGGTAATGAATACTGTAAAATCTCACTGTTGTAAAAAACCAGAATTCTGATTATTCACCCACATTCCTGAATATTCCTTTGAGGGTATTACCATAAACAACCTGTGCTAATAACATCGTGAAAACATCTTTAAAGAGTGTGAGTTTACTGTGTAAGATATTAGCAACTATTTATCTCCTCAAATTCTCAAAATAGAGAAACACAAACCCCATTATTTGCTTTATATATGTACATGTACTTTAACTCAAATTAGTTCTGATACTGATTATGCACTTATATAATCAAAAATGAAAATGGCATATTTTTCTTTAGGTACAAATTAAGCTAAAAGAAAATGTGAGACAATCCCTCCCAATTTAGTGAACCATTTGATAGAATAATAGCAGTACATGCGTATTAGATCATTATTCTTTTTTAGGTTAGTAGCTAAACAAAGTTTTGAAATAGTTGAAAATTAACCTAGAAAAACAGGAAACTATCAAATATATCAAAAAAGAAATACTTAATTCCCTGGAGACAGGAAAACAAGCAAAAGAGCGTATTTGATATATTTCATAATATACTACTATAAAATCAATTTTATAATGAGAAAGTGTGTATTAAAAAAATATGAATGCATACAATATAGAGTAGCAAAAAGCAGAGATGGAAAAAGGAAGGTAGAATAAAATAAACACAAAAAGAAGTGGGAGTTGAAAACTGTGTTTTCAAACAGAGTTCAAGTTGGGGGTGAGTGGCAGGAAGAAACAGGAAGGATACTGACCAGATTAAGGACAGAAAAGGTACAGGCATACAGAAAGGATGCTGATGAAAAAACAGAGGATCAAGAGACTTAAAAAGAAAACACAGCAACAGTACTCCAATATATTTTAAACTAATTATTTTATATAGATTATATTAAATGAGTACCCCTATTCCCCCAAAAGACTTCTAATTAAGATCAATTACCATTACACTTAAATATTATCTCCATAATCCTGCCCCTGATGTCCACCCTCTCTTGACTCTGCCTTGGTACAGGTTCTTACCTCTAACCTAGACCCATTTCAAACGACAAAAATTTCCAAGTGCTAGAAAAACAGATTTAAGAAACTAAAGTCTTTATTTTATGAGCTATCCCTTTTAATTGTGATTTAAAACTGCAAAATAGCCCGAAAGGTGTGGCTCAGCAGTTGAGCATTGACCTACCATCCAGGAGATTGCTGTTCCATTCCCAGTCAGGGCACATGCCCCAGATGTGGGCTTGATCCCCAGTAGGGGGCATGCAGGAGGCAGCCGATCAATGACTCTCACATCATTGATGCTTCTCTCTCTCTCTCCCTCTCTCCTCCTCTCTCTGAAATCAATAAAGAGATATTCTTAAAAAAAAACACTGCAGCCCGGCCAGGCGTCGCTCAGTGGTTGAGCATCAACCTAGGATCCAGGCTATCCGGGTTCGATTCCCGGTTAGGGCACATGCCAGGGTTGTGGGTTCAATCCCCAGTCGGGGGCATGCAGGAGGCAGCCAATCAATGACTCTCATCATTGATGTTTCTCTCTCTCTCTCTCCCTCTCCTTTCCTCTCTCTGAAATCAATAAAGATATATTTTTTAAAAAACACACAAAAAAAACCTACAAAACAAAATTTAAGTTCTATAATTAACCAAAAAAAAAAAAAAAAAAGATTTTGATCAAAATGAATGTAGCTTTTAAGCTCTTACAAAGAGCTAGCTCTTAGCCCTTTGCCCACCCCACCGTTAGAGGACTCCAGCTTTATAAAAAGACCTAGGGACAACTGAATCTTTCAGACCAGCCTCTCTCCCTGTCATAATCTCCCTGCTACAATCCATAATCCATACTGCTGTCAAAGAAATACCTTGTTAAAACATACACCTATGTGTTTCTTTACTGCATATAGAGATGATAAAAGCTTAAGAAAGAGGTCCTTAAAATCTGGCTCTAATTATTCTTACCTACTTTCTTATAACTTACATATGCCAGGTTTTAAAATTTATTTTTAATGTTTCAAAAGTCAAGATTCAATAGGATATTAATTGAATAGGCTCTCTCTCATACCTGTGGTCGTTCAGCCATTCAGGTTTCTACCCAGAAGGCAACTAATGTTAGCAGTTTGTGCTTCTAGAAATATTTTACATATATACATGAAAACATGTTTATAGGTTTTCTCCTTTTTACATAAATGGTAACATACTACATACTGCTTATGCAATGTGTCCTGGTGCCTTCTTTATTCACAAATGCTATTCTTTATTCCTGCAATTTTCTTGTTTCTGCACTTTATGAACTATGTACCCTCCATGGCCCAATTCACTACCTCTTTTCTATAGCCTCTGACTACTAAGATGAACCTGAATGCTCTTCTGTGAAGAGCCTTGTACACCCTCTCTTACAGTGAAATTATAACATGTAGCACATTTTTACTATTCATTACATTCCTGTCTTCCCCATTGTATTATAAAGATGAAAATTAAAGGCACAAGGTCTGATTCACCTGTAATTCCCTCTCACCCATTACCCAGTATCTAGAATATACCTGACACAGTCATTCAATAAATGATTTGCTAAGTAAACATCAGACTTAATAAGAAAATATGTGATTTGTATTTTCCAACATCAACATTTTCTTTCAAAGAGCAACTGTTAGATCATATATCTGAAGGCAGGTAAACAAATTACTCTATGGGAGAAAACAACACAAGATGTTTCTTCTCCAATTCTACAATTTGACCAAAACTGTTTGCTACCATATGAAAGCTTTGCCTTGCTGTCAGAAGGCAAAAAGCTTTAAAGGATAATGTGTATTTTGCCTGGTAGGTTAGTGTGATGTTCGGTTAACTCTCAATAAGCAAATTTAGGAAAACCAAAGGTAGAGAATGAATAGAGATAATCAAACAGTTTTAAATTCAAAACTTCATTTTTACCAAGTTTCAAATTCCTATCCCAGCTTTTATTTTTCAAATGGAGAATAAAATTGAGTATGTTTCAAATATTGTTCATTTCTTCTAAAATTTGGCTAAAGAATATGCAAATAGGCAATAAAAAAAAGAAGAAAGACATCAGGAAAGAGAAGAAAACTCAACGACTAGGGCACTCCATCTAATGAATGTGAACAATTAGAGAGTTTACTATAAAATATAATTAAAAGTAAGCAATATATAAAATAAGTTTAGAACACTTTTATTCATTAAAAACCATTGGTTCTTAATAGAATGACCTCAGTTAACAGAAATTTCACTGTTTTCAAATGACTCATTTCTATAAGCAGGGTTTAACTTATTTGTAAAATAGCAAGACCTAGTGTGTACAACAAAAAGACAAAGAGTCAAATATAAATACTATAGTGAATTAACACAGCTTTTTACATCATAAAAATAAAACTCTACCAAAAAATGTGGATCAAAAACTGCCACTATAATTATTACTGTACTAACAAATTATTAACAGAATGTAAAACCTCAAAAAGACAGTTTGAATCAAAGTAAGTAAATACAAACACAACAACAGGGGGAAAAAAAGCCAAATAGCTCTTTTGCATGAGCTACATTAATTTCAGTGTCTTTCCAGTCAATTTTATGAGGCATGAAACGCATCTGTGAGGTCCATATGCTTTGTTCCCAACACTAAGCAATTTCTACTACTGAAAACATTAAAAGAGCTTCAATAATTGTGGGCAATCTAAAAATAAATGGGAATCAGTACACTGTTCCACAATAATTTTATTTTAAACAAACTCTTCAATGCGGTACAAAGCTGAAGTGACCTACTTCAATCTACTGGTAGTTTCCTGATTATTAAACCACATAAAAATCAAAGGCGATTGATAAGGGTTCTATTTTCAGGTTTGAAAAATCTAAACTAGAAGCCCAAATATTTAACTATACATAGACTCTGATAAAAATAAACCAGCATATTCGCTTAGAAATTAAGAGACAACAGTAACATTAAAATCTTCAGTAGCACCTGATACCAAATGCTTCCACTCCCTTATAACCACTCATGCAAAAAGAAGGCAAAAATCTCAAAACAAATGAAATCTAAACTAGAATTTTGCCCGTGGGAAAGGAAGCTCATCAGCAATTTAAACCTTAAGCAGTTTTAAGATCTAAATAAAATCAAATATGTTCCTCCATAATGATCTGTTCACAGAAACAATCACAGTCGGCATCATGCACCTTAAAGAAAAAAATCTGCTATGGTTTTAAAAGTACACTACAGATGCGTTTTATCAACGTGTATTATAGTACATACACGTTTTACGGTAGGGGGCTATTGTAATATGTATTCCTTAATTAGGAGATGCGTTTAGAAATAAAAGAATCATTCGGGAGAAATTTCTTCGGACAGCTGTGTAATTTGTCACAATCTCTTTTTACAGCTGGTCGTGAATGAAATTCTAGATTCTCCTTTGCTGAACTAATGAAGCAACTGTGACTGAAAACGTTAAAAAAGGGGCGTGAGAGGTGGGGGCGATGGGAGAGAGAGCGAAGGGCCGGGTCTGTCTTAAATAGCAAGCACAGTGAGAAAACAAAAATACCACCATGAAGCAGATTTTGAATTGAATGGCCAAGAGGCAGCATGCATAAACACAGGCGTGCACGCGCAAGTCCGGACCCATAACCTAGGAAACTGGAGGCTGCGCGCGGTCTTCACGGGAGGGAGCCTCAAGTTTACTCATCGGGTCGGCCGTTCACACGGAGGTAAAACCCTCGCGGCTCCACGGCAGCCCCGGGAGCTATCGAGCCAACACACTCTGCGAGCTCGGTCCTTTTCTGGAACAGCCAGAGCTGGCATGTCAATCACTGGGCGAGAGGGGAAGAACTGAGGCGCCTGGGAAGCAAAGGAAGGTCCAGGGGCACCTGTTACCGCAGGAACGCGGGAAGGTGGGGTTGGGATTTAGAGAGAGGGGCTGAGGTTGCGTCTCCGGGGATGAAGGGGGTTGGGGGCGACCAGCGGGTACTGCATCTGGAAGCGGGCGGAGGGACAGGGGAGCGATAACGACCGGGGCAGCCGGGATACTCGGGGAACCATCTAGGAAGCACCTCGCCGTAAAGAAAGGACACAAAGGGCAGGTGAGGGAAGTACTGGGGCTCTGCAGCCTCCCGGGGAGGAGGAAACAGGGGCGAGGTTGGGATAAGGGGGCCGGGGAGGCGCGGGGAGCCGAGGCACAGGAGACCCACGGAGGAGCCCGAGCCTCCGAGCGCCCAGGTGAGGAGAAGGCGGCACCTCACCTGATACTCCGGGTACTCAAACATGTAGCTCATACTGCACTTGTTCTCCTCGAAGCCGAAGAAGACGTCCCACAGCCCTAGGGTGGCCATGAAGATCATGAAGGCATAAAACGCCAGGTTGCTGAGGTTGACGGAGTGAAGAAACATGGTG